CATAATGTTGTATTAGGGAAAGGAAGCCAACAGACCAGGGTGGGACTTTTGGAGAATGCTTTCTTCTGGAACCTCGGAGTGTGGTGCCACACATGCTTCTTCGAAACATACTTTCTGAAGTTTTAAGAGAATGTGCCAGCTCAGGCATTGACACCTTTCTTGAAGGCAACCAGGCTGTTTTTCCTGCATCACGTAGGGTTTGAAAGAGATTCAGAGATGAATGCAACAGTCAAGATTTACTTCAGTCAGCTTGGAGGCCCTTTGAATTAGGGGACGAGCAGCCTTTTCTTTGGTAGTCAAACGTAGGCTTCCTTTCCACACTGGAGGCAGGGGACAGAGAACGTAGGGTCTATTTTCCCGACTGGAGCTCAGGAACGGAGACTCCAGTTAGGTGCTGGGGCGCTGGGCCCTTGTGGAGAGGTGAGAGGGCCTCCCTCTCACAACATCTGCACCCCAGCTCTTGCTCTCTGGTTGCCCAGAGGCGCTTCCCCTGAAGAGAACACTGAGGTCTTGTCGTTTTTTAGGAGTCCCTTGGTTGACCGTAAGAGTTGGGTGGGAGTGGCAGTCGGCAAGCCAGGCCCCGAAGGATGAGTGGAGGCAAGCGAAAGGGAGCTAATGTGAAAAGGACACGCTGGGAAGAATGTTAAGCTCTGAGGACTCCCAGAGGAGAGGGTTTTCCCATTTCTGTTAATATTCAAGATGACTTTGAACTCTAGGGTGTTTGACTTCTCATAAATATAACTCAGACTAACTCTTGCTTGTTTTTTTTTTTTTTAATAAGAGCAAACAGATTTAACAATGCGTCTCCATTTTTACATGGTTGTTGCTGTTTGTTTATAAGCCAGACCCTTTTTTGAGTTTTGTCCTCTCTTTCTAGAAGCGAGTTTGCATCTGGTCCATCATGACACCCACAGAAATCATGGTGAGTATCCCCTGCTCCCCTGGCCTCTCATGGTGAGCTCTTGTCCTGCCTCTTCTGGGGTTCAGGAAGGCTTTCTCCCTGTGGGTTCCCAGGGCTAGATCTGCTGGGCAGCCCCCCACATGGGGCACAGGATGTCCACAAGGAGGGCTTTGCACACATGAAGGTGGGCAAGGGGTGCCTGGGTGGCTATGCTGTGAAGACAGAGGAAGATGCTATTTTGCATGTCATTATAACTGACTAATTAAAAATCAATTTAAAATAACAAAAATAATTTTAAAATAAAAAATGGACAGAAGCACTTATTTATTAACATTATGAATAGGTAAGGCTTTGAAGCTCTTTAACTAGGGTGCACTAACTAACTAGTTCCATGTATCTGCTCTGAAATGCAGATAAATAAGGCAGACCCGTTTTATGATTTTTAAAAATCACAGTAAGTTCCTTAGTTGTTTTTTACCAAACATGTAGCCTTTACAAAAGATACACAGCAGTATGCAGTTCTTTAAAAGAGACAAAGAAGCTAACCAAATTTGGTGGTTAAAGTCATCCAGAGAGTCATTCTTGGTCTTATAAACAAACATAACTACAAAAGCAAATCCAATTCCAGTGCTTCTTCCATAGTCATCAATGCCTCGCCAATACGTAGGGTTTTGTCTGCTTTCTCAGAGGGGTGGTCTGGGCCTACGGGTCGGCAGCTGCCGTGAAGCCTCCTTGGCGGCGCTGACACTTGGCCCTTCTCAGCACATCATGTCTGCGTGGTGCGTGGAGAGTGGTGAGCAGTCACTGAGGTCAAGTACATCCTTTATGACATGCTTAATATTACATACGAATCCTTATAGGTCTATGACAACTAAAAATGTACAAATTAGGAGCTGGTGAAGTAAGGCGGCATCTTGGTTCTTCTGACTGTTCTTCCCCCTTCAGTGTCCCAGTTCATATGTGTTTCATCCCTGGTGTGCTGGGAACAGAACAAGGTCGGGGCAGCATCCCTGGTGTGCTGGGACAGAGCCAGGGATGTGTGGGAGACTGTCAGTCTTTCTGTATTCTCATTTGGGATCTGGGCAGCTTTCCAAATGCAGGGAGGCAGTCCCAGAGAAGAAAATGCACCCCAATAAGGACCTTTTGTGATTTGGTGTCCAGCACCTCCTCAATCAGGAAAAGTCAGGAGCTCTGAGGTCAAGACTCACATATTGGTTGGGAAATAGCCATGATGTCCCTGTGGCCACTTCTCTGAGAAGGTTTTATGAGCTGGTCACCACCCAGGAGGTCACATTTCCTGCAGCCTCCCAGAGAATGCAGAGCTGGATTTACAGACAAGGAAATTGAGACGAGAGAGTGGCCTGAGGCTCAAGGTCAGCTAAGTGGAGGAAGAGACTTGGAGTAGCCCAGTGTTTGGGCTTCTCTGGGCTTCTTGCTGGGGTCAAGTGCAAAAGCTCCCATGCTTCCTCAAGTGTGGGACGAAGAATATTGACCATGGCTGCCTGCTAACATGCACTGCATGCAGCGAACTCACCTCCCTTTCTCCCTCCAGCTTCCCTCTCTCATCCCACCTCCTGTGGAGAGGACATAGCCTTTCTGGACAATCCTTGTCCTCTGCCTTACCTTTTCCCAGAGATGGAAATGATGCCAGGCCTGGAGCTGGTGGACACTTAGCAGAGATAACAGGAATCAGTGACAAAGGGCCTGGGAAGCTTGCAGAACTTCTTTCTGCTAAGCTTTGGTGACTAGGGCTGCTGCTTCTGAGCCTAGAGCCTCCTAAGGGAGCAGACCCATGGGCACGGATGTCACAATCTGAAGGTGAGTGCTTGGCCGGACTTGCTTTGCCCGCCTGTATGCTGTGGCTTGCCCTGTTCTGAGAGGTCACAGGTGTGCTCTGGGGGTGAAGGTGGAGCACCCACTAGCTGTGGTAACTGGGCTTCCCAAGGAGCCACTCTGGGCCTGGCACCCAAGGCGGGGCTCAGCTTTGCTGTGGCCACTTTGACAGCATCAGAATGTGAAGAGCAGGGCTTTGGGTCGGGAGGGACTTATGGTGCTCCTCTAATGTTCCCCTAGTAGCTGAGGGTTTTGGCAGACCCTCTCATTCCCCAGGGCCTATCTTCTGCCCAGCAGTTTCTATGATCTCAATATCATGAAAAGCCCTGTTGAGGTTTCAAATAAAATGCCCAGAATCAAAACAACCAGCATGAGGAGAAGGCAAGCATGTGCTGAGCTCTGGGCAGGCCTCCGGCGTGTTCTCTGCCCTTTCTCGCCTGCCCTTAGCTGTCTGCCTGCAATGCTCAGCAGTCATCCAGAGTAACCGCGTGTGCATGTGGGTGGGAGTGTGCGAATCTGCATGAGACACATGTGTGTACTCTCATTGAGATATCCTAGATGGTAAAGTAAAGTTGAGGGCTAGGATGGAGAAGTTTTCTTGTAAATCAATCCCAAAAAGAGATACAGTAAAATTCCTTAGAATCTGAATAGAAAACTTAAGTGAATTTCCTTATTTAAAAGACTAAGCAGAGAATGGCACATCTTCAAACAACTAGCAACAACAAATGTTGGCGAGGATGTGGAGAAAAAGGAACTCTCCTGCATTGCTGGTGGGAATGCAAACTAGTACAACCTCTATGGAAAACTGTTTGGAGGTTCCTCAAACTGCTAAACATGGAGCTTCCCTATGACCCAGCAATCCCACTCCTAGGTATCTACCCAAAAGACACAAAAACACTGATTGAAAAAGATACTTGTACCCCCATGTTTATTGCTGCTTTATTTACAATTGGAAAAACATGGAAGCAGCCCAAATGCCCAAAAGTAGATGACTGGATTAGAAAGATGTGGTACATATATACAATGGGATATTACTCAGCAACCAAAAAAGAGAAACACATGTCTTTTGCAGCAACTTGGATGGAGCTGGAAAAGATCATGCTTAGTGAGATAAGCCAGAAAGAGAAAGAAAAATACCGGATGGTCTCACTCATAGCAGGAGTATAATGGACCAGGCGAGAAAATAACAAAAATAATGAACAACCATAGACCAGAGACATTCTGTGGGGGTGGAGTGGGGAATGGGATCAAAAACAGGGGTGGGGTGAAGGGAGGGAAATGCATGGGACTATGGTGGTGGCACAGGGGTGATTTGGTGATGGGAAACCCGTGGGGATTACAATTGAGATGAAAAAAAAATGTGCAAAATGATGTAAAAATAAACTTTTTAATAAAAAATAAATAAAAAAAAAGACTAAGCAGTAGAAAGCTTAAGTCGTTCCTTAAAAACTGAATACAAGGCTTAAGTTAGATAGTAGAATGATGAGATTTGGGTAAAAGAACATGTTCTAGTACTGCCTCATATTACAATATTGATTTTGCTATAACAGCCAATTGCTTTTATTAATCAGCCAATTGTAAAATTATTTGACTTCAAGAGGAATTTCCCGCCCTGGGGCAGTGCTTGCTTGTCTGGGCCAGGCAGTGCATTATGAGGCTAAGGCAATCCAGTTGTAAACTGAAGGTTGCTCAGAATATTTTGATATTATGATTATACAAAAAAGGGAGGTCATAACATCAATTAGCATGGAAATTCTGATTTTTCAGAGCATTTCCCCTCAAATCCGGAATTTGTCAGCTGACAGAAGTTGCATAGCTTGTGTAAGCTTTCAGACACAGAAAAGTTTAAGGGCTTCTGAGGACCTATCTGGGAGGGCGGATTAGAGAAGGGACAGTCAGAGTCGACAGCTTGCAAAGACTCTTCCCAGCTGGGATCCCGAATCCTTCTTCTCCCCACTGCATGTGCCGTGCGCCCTGTGATGGCCCCTTGGCTTGTGTCTTCCACGAAGCCCATAGGAACCACATCTGGCTTCTCATCCTTGCATTTTCAGCACATACACAGTATCTGACATATCACACGTGCTCGTAACTATTTGTTGAATAAATAAATCTTTCAATCCCAGCAGGTGCTCTCAGAATTCCTACTTTCTTTTGAAACTGAATTTCATGAATTCCTTTTGTCTCATCATAGATGATGGGGTCTGGCAGGGTAAGGTGGCCCCTGCATCTGCCTTCACACGGGAACTCTGAGATTGTTCTCGACCTAATGGGATCTTGGTTTTCCTTACAGAGCAACCTCAGTGACTACTTGATATACTGGGAAGATACTTTAGATGACAACATGATTGACAATGCCACCTTTCGTTTCTGCAATAAAGACAACATCAGGCATGTGATAAGCATTTTGATCCCGTTTATGTACTGGCTTGCATTCATCATTGGTGCCTTGGGCAACAGCCTCGTCATTCTTGTCTACTGGTTCTGCACGAGAATCAAGACCATGACCGACATGTTCCTTCTGAACATGGCCATCGCTGACCTGCTCTTTACCTGCACTCTTCCCTTCTGGGCCATCGCCATTGCTGACCAGTGGAAATTCCACAACCTTGCGTGCAAAGTGGTCAGCAGCATGTACAAGATGAACTTCTACTGCTTTGTGTTGCTGATAGCGTGCATCAGCTGGGACCGGTACTTAGCAATTGCTCAGGCTACAAAAGAGTGGACCCCCAGGTGGAGATCTCTTAAAAAAAGCAAAATCATTTGTTTTATTGTCTGGGGCCTGGCGATTTCCAGCTCCTTGCCAGAAATCCTGTACAGCGAAGTCAAGGAGCTATCCAACATTTCCATTTGCACCTCAGTCTACCCTAAGAATAAGAACCCCAAACTGAAGTCAATTATTTTGATCCTGAGGGAGAGCCTGGGGCTCATATTACCCTTTGTGATCATGATTTGCTGTTACGCAATTGTCATTCACACTCTGATACAAGCCAAGAAGTCACCCAGGCGGCAGGCCCTCAAGATCATCATCATTGTCCTTACCAACTTCGTCTTGTCTCAGTTCCCTTACAACTGTGTCCTGTTGGTGCAGGCCCTTGATGCCAACATCTACTTCATTTCTAGCTGTGAATTGTCCATTGAGATGGACAAAATCCTCCAGAGCACTCAGGTCATGGCCTTCTTACACAGTTGTGCGAATCCTATTTTCTACCTTATTTTGGGTAGGAGATTCCGGCAGGATATTTGTAAAATCCTGAGGAAGCTGAGCTGCTTTCCCCAGACTCAGTGCGTCCTGTTTTCCTGGAGACAGAGCAGCTCCAGCACATCATCCATGTGTCCCACAGAGACAACCGTGGTGAGCACTCTCCCTGTGAGGGGTGTCCTTGCTCACAGGGCTGGTTCTTCTGGAAGTATCTAAAAATACAGGAGCGGCTTCCACATGGATGAGACCAAGGGAAACCCCAAGGAAATGAAAGGCAATATAGAAAGAAAAAAGCTCAAGGGGGCTTTGTATTTCTAGTCAGAGTTAGTAAGTCTTCTGGCCACCTCAATAGAATGCTGACTGACTCTTGGCTGCAATACCCGCATTTTTCAAAGGAAGATTAACAATTCTGTGGCCACTGGCTGAGCAGTTTGCCTAAGCATTAACATAGCTGACCTCTAGAGGTTTTCATTTTCTCACTTCTCAGAACCCTGTGAATTGCTGTGTTTCCAGTTCCAGAGCCACCCCTTCCGAAAGACGTCATAGAAGCAGCCACAAAACCGTTGTTTTGTTGTCCACAAAAACACCAGGTTTCACAGAACCATCCATCCACCAACAGTTTCCATCTTGATTTGGTAGTCCCATACTCATGCCAGGTCATGAAGATTCTTGATCTAGAATCATGCCAAACCACCAGAATCAAATCTCCCTCTGTTCTCCTTGCTCAGTCTGGGGCAGTGAGGGCTCTCATTCTCGTATTCAAGCTGGCTGGTCTATCACCCAAGGCACACCTGCCAGCCACCAGGATTCTGCCACCTTCTAGCCCATTTCTGTGACTCCCTGTGGGTTCTGTGACATCACACCTGGCTGCAGGTTTGGCCTGGGATAGGCCTGGTGTGAGAGGTGCTCCTCGCAGCCTTGCAGGGAGATGAAGGACCAGCTTTGGTAGGAACTGGCTCTGGCATGGGCTTCTTCATCAAGTGGCTTTTGTGCTGGTCTATTCTCTTCCCTGTGACTCGCATCGGCCAATCTCGTCTCGGAAGGATATTTGTCTCCATGTTTCTTCATTTTACTGTGTAGCTTACTATGCTAACACACTTTCAATTTAGAGATATAGGGATTTTTACTTTGATGATGAGCTCTCCCTCCCCAAATAATATACTTCACATTTGCTTTGTCTTTTAACAATTTGTCAAACTTATCATTTATCACATATACCATTTCCTATATTAGACAGTGCTTTTTAATGATTACTTAATAATAACCATCATTATCACTTTCTTCACCTTTTAAATGTGTGCACTTATAGACTGAAAGGCCTTTTTAAGAATACAAAGAATAAGAGACAAGGATATGTAAATAAAATCTCCAAATTACCCTAAAACCACATTTGACCAGTATTTATTATACCTCTACTCACATTCACTTCCCAAGTGAATTTTCCAGAAGGACCTGCCCAGTTTTGCTCCAGCGGAAGAAGCACCTGGTTTTCTCAGTGCACTATTCATGACTGTGGCTTCGGTGCCAATGAAACCATTGCCTCCAAGGTAGGATACAACGGCACTGGACTCAGTGCTCCTTCCCCCCACCCATTTCTTTCTTTCTTTTTTTTATAATATATTTTTACATAATTTTGTGACTTTTTCCATCTCAGTTGTAATCTCCATGGGTTTTCCATCACCACATCAACCGTGTGCCATTACCATAGTCTAGTGCACTTCCCACCCTATTTTTTTTATGCTATTCCCCTCTCTATCTCTGTAAAATGTATATAGTTGTTCATTATTATTATTATTTTCTCCCCTGGTCCCTTATACTCCTCTTATGAGTAAGACCATCTGGTATTTTTATTTTTTTTTCTGCCTTATTTCGCTAAGCATAATCTTCTCCAGCTCCATCCATGTTGCTGCAAAAGGCATGTGCTTTTCTTTTTGATTGCTGAGTAGTATTCCATTGTGTATATGTACCACATCTTTTTAATCCAGTCATCTACTTTTGGGCATTTGGGTTGTTTCCATGTCTTTCTTATTGTAAATAAAGCAGCAATAAACATGGGGGTGCATGTGTCTTTTTGAATCAGTGTTTTTATGTCTTTCCCCCCACCCATTTCTAAAGCACAAGTTAGTGAAAAATGAAGTAGCAGCAAAGGGGCAGCAGCAGGGGAACAAAAGAGGTGATACAAAGACTTTGCCAAGCCAGCCACATGCCGCTCCATGTGTGGGAACCAGTGATAACTGGGCTTCACCCCAGGACAGCCCATCACAGGCCCCGGGAGAGCAAGCTCCACTCAGCGTCCCAGGAGGATGCATCACCAAGGCTGGGCTATGAGTGGAGCAGCCACGTTGCCGCTATTTCCATGAGACCCAGACGCCTTTTGAGAAGATAGAAGAATGAGCAGCAGACACAAGTCACACCCAAATAACACTGAGACATGAGGCAGAAAGTCACATGCATGTGCCTTTCTCATACGGTGCTTATGTATGTCCCAGGGGTTCCAGGGAGGCCGAGGGTGGGGAGGGCAGGAGGAAGGGGTGAGCTACCATCGTGTCGAATCTAGCCTCAGCCTACAGTCACTTAAAGAACACTATGGCACAGAGTTAGCCAAGGTGAATAGCACTTTGGCCAAACTATGTTATCCGGGGAAAAAAATGCCAGGGAATCAACATTTTCTCCTTTGATTTTTTTTTTTAGGATTTATTTGTCAATAAAGAACTGGGGAACAGGCTTGAGGCTCAGGTGCATTGATAGGCTTCACCAGAGTGAGAGTGGGGAGCAGAACAGGCCGACTGATGAAGCACACTGCTGAGGGGAGCAGCGGGCGGGTCAGGAGAGGTCTGCCGCGCCATGTGGGTCATGTCCAGGGTGGGGGCTTAAACTTGCACTGAAGCAGCCGTGGCTGGTTTGCAGTGCTGCGCCCTAACCCGCTGTGCCACCAGGGAGGGCCTCTCCTCTGGTTTTTAAGAAAGGGGCATGGGAGTCTCACACCCTGGGCTGAAATCTTCACACGTAATTCCATGGGCCTCCTTTAGGGTCAGTGCCGCTGCTAACACGACTTCAACGTAGGATTCAACATGTGTTGCAACGGTCTAGTATTTTAAAGATGCTCCGAATCTGTTGGCAAGTTGTCTTAGCCTATAAACGTTGCATAAATAGGACCATTTTGCTTTCAATTAAGGTAGGTTTAAGTAGTAAGTTAATTCTAAAATTAAAATGTTGAAAGAGTCAACATGGGGAAATCCATAAGGTAGCCATGACCCACCCACATTTCTAGAAATTATGCTGAGCAAGTACTTCTAAAAATAAAGATAAAGAGGACTGTAGCATCTAATGATATGCAGCAGAAAAGTCAAGATAATGAGTGGAAAGCGGGCCCTCCCTGGTGGTGCAGTGATTTAAAATACAGTACTAAAGAAGTTAAAGCCACTTCAGCATGAGTTTTCGATTCCCATCCCAGGGGTGACCCACATGGCGCGGCAGACCTCTCCTGACCCGCCCGCTGCTCCCCTCAGCAGTGTTCTTCATCAATCTGCCTGCTCTGTTCCCCACTCTCTTCGGTGAAGCCTTTCACTGCCCCTGCACCTCTGGCTTGTACCCCAGTTCTGTATGCATAAATAAATATATCTGTTTTTAAAATGAGTGGAAAGTGATGTGCTTTCATTATTAAAGAAATTGGCTTTGTACTGAATTTTTTTTTTAACTAACTTAAGTGAACATATCACACACAACATGAAGATTTAAGTAGGGACTGTTTTGAAGCAGTTTTGTGTGACTAGAGTTTCAGTTTTTGAACTGACTTCCAGGTCATTGTTCACTCAGCAAACATGATTACACACTACTAGCCAGTCCCTTTCTCCACCTGGGATTATGACGGGATATATTAGTCCTTCTGTCAAGACACAACACTCTAGAGTCATGGAATAGCCAAGTGCTTGCAGACTGAGCTGCTGGACCCTGTCGGCGGGCACCCCAATATGAGGCTCATACACTGGTTTCAGGGCAGGCCAGACACATGGCCTCCCTGGGTGAGCCCTGTGTGTCCTTGATCTTGTGGACACACACACACATTCACTCCAGATGGAAGGCCTGTGAGTAGTGGACACAGCATGTTGAACTAATACTAACACATTTGTAAAAATTGAAAAGGAGTCGTTCTCGCATTTATATTTCAGGGATTGGAAATCAACTTCCAGAAAACTTTAAGGAAAACACTGGCAGCCTTGAGCAATTGGCAGCCTTGAGCCCCTGGACCAGACCTCACTTTGAGACACACAGACCAGCCTGTAGGAAGAAGTATGGTTTTAGTGGAGGGAATTAAAATCCATTGAAGGGCAGAGAGCCTTGGCCCTCTGCCATCCTTTGGGTCATAATGCCATCATGTTCCCTCCAGGCAGCCTGAGGGGAGCTGGCTGGGGAGAATGCAGGCGTCAGACTGGATGCTGCTTGGACAGAGGCTCAAGGTGCCGCCTACCAGGCGTGTGGTTATGATCTCATTCACCTACATGTAACAGTCCTGTGGGAGAAAGCTGCCAGCCACAGTGAGGCCATTGCCCTTGACCTCATTGCCCTTCACTGCACACTGTGGGGAAGCCCCACGCTGTGAGGCAGCCATGTAGTATTTCACGCTGGGTTCAGATACATCAGCCAAGGCTGCCAGGAAAAACATCTTTGGATGGCACCATTGACTCTGCTTCAACAAGCGACAAATTGTCTCACCCTGGATGGTTGCTTTATGTCTCTGGTCGATCACACATGGTCACAGACGTATCAAAGCCTGCATCAAGTGTGTGGTCATCATTGTTGTCCAGTTCTGAGTTTGTCTCACTAGCTGGAGCTCCCCATCACACTTACTTTCCTTCCTTAGTGCCTTCTCTTTTAGAAAACTTTGCTGGGAAAAAAATCTTTGCTGGAGCATTTTAAAGTAAACATATGACCTAATTTCACTTAAAACCTAAGTCCTTATCCAGAGCACCCAATGCCACAATAGTGAAGGCAAAAAATATACGGAGAACTGATGAAACTCAACAAAAATAAACAACCCCCTCAAAAAATGGGCAGAAGAGCTACAAAGACACTTCTCCAAAGAGGAAATGCAGATGGCCAACAAGCATATGAAAAAATGTTCAACATCACTCGTAATAAGGGAGATGCAAATTAAAACCACAATGAGATACCACCTCACCCCAGTGAGAATGGCACATCTTCAAACAACTAGCAACAACAAATGTGGGCGAGGATGTGGAGAAAAAGGAACTCTCCTGCACTGCTGGTGGGAATGCAAACTAGTACAACCACTATGGAAAACTGTTTGGAGGTTCCTCAAACTGCTAAACATGGAGCTTCCCTACGACCCAGCAATCCCACTCCTAGGTATCTACCCAAAAGACACAAAAACACTGATTGAGAAAGATACCTGCACTCCCATGTTTATTGCTGCTTTATTTACCATGGGAAAGACATGGAATCAACCCAAATGCCCAAAAGTAGATGACTGGATAAAAAAGATGTGGTACATATATACAATGGAATATTACTCAGCAACAAAAAAAGAGAAACACATGTCTTTTGCAGCAGCTTGGATGGGGCTGGAAAAGATCATGCTTAGTGAGATAAGCCAGAAAGAGAAAGAAAAGTACCGGATGGTTTCACTCATAGCAGGAGTATAATGCACCAGGCGAGAAAATAACAAAAACAATGAACAATCATATACCAGAGACATTTTGCGGGGATGGAGTGGGGGATGGGATCAAAAACAGGGGTGGGGTGGGGAGGGAAGTACATGGGATTATGGTGATGGCACACGGGTGACTTGGTGATGGGAAACCCGCGGGGATTACAATTGAGATGGAAAAACAACCGTACAAAATGATGTAAAAATAAACTGTTATAAAAAACAAACAAACTTAAGTCTCTTATCTTGTTAAGGCTCCAGATAAAAACAAACCAAGAAACCCAGCCAGAGACTGAATGGAAACCACCTGTTTGACTAGGCCACCCCTTACCAAAGGGCCTGAAGAGGTGCAGAGACAGTTGCGAGAAAATGAGCAAACTCTAGAAGGTCTCACACTGTGGGTGACACTTTCTAGGGCAGGGCTAACAACCTAAGTAACTCAGAATACCCCAAGGGGGCGGGAAAGGCCAGAGCAGGCCCCCATGCTTTGCTCTTGTTTACCTTTGGAAATCAGAGCGACCCTCAGTGCCAGAGAGAGCTGATATTGATTGAGTGGGGTGGGGCCCCCAGTTCTAATGCTGACTGGTATCACTGAGGCTGGAAAATGGCCATCACGGTCAGGCAGCTGAAAAAGACCCACTGGTGACTGGGGGTGATGGAGGCAGAAGGTCAGCTGGGTCTGCTTAGACCCAGGTGATGAGTTTCGATTCTATTTTACCTGCAGGAGGTTTCCAAGCAGGGGTGTTACGTGATCGAATCCATACTTTAAAGCTCTCCAAAGTCCTTGGGTGACAAGAGGTTGGGGATTGGGGACCGTGGGGACAAGGGCAGAAGCAGAGAGACAGTTGAGGTTGTGGCGATTGTTCAGGAAGACATAATGGCAGTGGGGTTAGGGTGACGGTAACCAAGGCAGTGGGGAGAGGTGGCTGAATGGCTGCAAGAATTTTCCGGGGGTAGAAGCAGCAGGCGCAGAGGACTGAGAGAAAGGGGTCTCCGAGGCTGTCTAAGGTCTTGTGCTTGGATGTCTGGGTGGCTGGTGGCGCTGTTGCTGGGGAGGGAGGACGAGAGGAGGGAAGTCTGGGGCTGGGAGGCCATTCGAGTCCAGATGCCCTCGAATTGCCCAAGCAAAGGAAGACAGGTCTTGGCTGAAGATGCGGGCCTGGAGGTCGTGTGCGTGACGAGCGAGACGCGGGCGTGCTGTGATCAGGAGGGTGGAAAGAGCAGCGGGCGGTGGCAGAGAGAAAGAGAGAGAGGTGGGGTGGACAGAAGGGCGCAACCCTGGGGACTTCCTGGGAGAGGCCTGTGAGGGCGACCAGGGAATGTCCACTGAGGGAGAGATGCGGGCGAGGAGTGCGTGGTGGGGCCAGGTGAGGGAGGGTCCGAGAGGAGGAGCGGGCAGGAGTGTTGAGAGGTGCTTAGAGGTGGCGGGAGATGAGGACAGGAGCATTTGAGGACTTCGGCCCCTGGAGGCTGCTGGTGGCTTTGAAGCAAGCTGTACCCCAGGCTCAGTTTGGGAAAATGAAACCAGGTGAGGAGCCCGTGAGAGGTGAGGTTTAGAATTATCCTTTGGAGAATGAAATTTCCAGCACTGCATCCCAGTTCTTGGGCAAACTGAGGGAAGCTGCAGTTCCGGGATCTAAGGGTCACTGAGAGCAATTTAAGAGACAGCCCCATCAGCTCATTCTGCCTCTTTCCTCAAGCCCTAACCAAATAGCAGAGATCATCAAAACCATTCCCAGTGTGGTCCAAGAATCACCTCCATCACATGAAGATGTGAGGGAACCAGGCGTGGCGAGCCAGAGTTGACATGGGTTGTACCTATGAATCATTTGAATAGGCTCTCTGGTAACCGAGCTTCCAAGAAACTCTTTGCCACAAGCTCATATGACAGTTTGAAGCAAAACTGAGCCCTGGTTGAACAGAACTTTTCCTGAGAGCTTGGTATCAGAACCTTGTTCTGGAGTTGACGTGGCTTCCCTGTCCCTCTTCCAAAGGTCACCCTGGGGTCACTAAGGTGCGATCCTTTCTGAAGACACCTAGCACACACCTCTGCGTCCTTCCTGGTGAAGGACTGTCTTTACAAAGACATTTGGCTCCAGACCTGGATGCTGTCTCCTTTCCAGCTGCATCTCAGGTCTCCTAACCTCAGTGCGCACGTGCCAGAGGAGTGAGGAAACCACACGTTACCTCCCGAGCGGGTGCTATCCCACCCAGGACCGCCGGTGAAAGCACACAGGCCGTGAGGCCAGCTGCAGAGACAGACTGAAGTGGATTATCTTGCCCACATCTGCAGTCACTGCCTCTGGCCAGTTCATGGCTCCGCCAAAATATGGCCACCACCGGATGTGGATGCTGCCTTTGGCCACACCAAATCGGCCACTCTCCCACTGCTCTTGCCAACGAGAAAGACAGCTCTTCACCTGCTGCAGTCCCACCTCCTGGGGGGAAGGCCCTGCCTGTGAACCCCTTTTCTCACCTCCTCTTTGCTCCCCTATTCTTCTACCTCATACCCCTCTCCCTCGCCTGATTTCCCTTCTTGCACAGGGAGGAGACAGCGCTGACGCCACTGACCAGGCAGATGGATGTCAAGTCCCCCCAAGGGCGGCCTCCTCCTCGCCTCAGTCAGAGGACTTCTGGGGGGCAGAGCGCTGGGGAGACCCTCCTGGAAGCGCCTTCTCTTTGATGATTCCATGGAAACCCTGGGCCCAAAGTCATACCTGGTCTGAAAAGGAGGGTTTCCTCTGGTCAGGACACGCATCGCAGGTTTGGTGAGGCCTGTCCTGCATCGTTCGTTTTTTAGCAAAGATGGGATTCTTCCCAGATTCAGATGGAGCTAGCAACTGAGAAAACCGCAGTGCGTAGGTGTGTGTGAGGAAGAGGTGTGAGGAAGCCTCCCCAGTGTCTGTCCTCCCACGGGGGTGGAGGAGGGGTGAGAGACACACATCAAACACAGGGCCGATGCTCATGCCTCTGCCTGCCTTCACCATGTTTCTTCAGAAACCGGCGGGTGGGGGGAAAGTAAAAGGCTGACCTTTCTTTCAACCCTAAGCCACTCTGAACGGCTTTCAAAATGGCTGTTTCCCCCCAGCTTTTGAAGGCTTTAGCTTCACTGCTCCCTCAAAAAGTCCGTTTTCTCATTTTGGGCAACAGGTTTCACCATCTATTTGCTTTACACATGTGTGTGGGTAGCAAGCTCCTCTCGCCAGATTTTTCCCACACACTTTCAAATCGAAAGGGCTGACCCCGCCGGGCGCAGCCTCTGAGTCACCTGGGGAATCTCTGCATCCTCCAGCATCACCGGCTGTCACATCCGCAAGAGAGGACGGTGGCCTCTCCAATACCTCAGCCTGGGGGCCGATTTGGGCCTGGGTTATCTGGTACCAGGTGAAGTGTGGGGCTTGGACAGTCTGAGTTTGTCCACCTTGGGTTAATCAGGGCCTAGTGGTGGGAGAGGCGAATGGGGATTCTGACACAGACCCAGCCCCAGAAGCAGTGGACACACGCGTCTGGGTATCTCAGCTGGTTCGCGTTGCAGCCCCCAGCCAGAGTGGCCTTCAGGCCTCTGCAGGATCTGTGCTGTCAACAGAGAAAGCCTTCTGCTGGCCAGTTTGAGTGCTTGCACAAACTGCTTCCACTGTCCTTCAACCTGGTGGCTGGAAAGTAAGAGGCCTGATTTAAGGGTGTCTTTAGTGCAAAAGGGGGTGCGGAGGGCTATGTAATAGCTCACCTTCTTCCTCTCTTAGCCGCCTCCTGCAGCCTTGACCTTTGTCCTTCTCTGCCATGGGAGTTTCAGGTGCCCTGTCCCTGGCCAAGTTGGCTAATGGGTTTGTTGATGGCTTTAGAGCTGACCAGACAGGAGTTACTGGGACCACCAGTCCTCACTGATCCAGTGATTGTTGAGTAACCTCGTCTCTGATGTGCTCAATGTGCAGAAGGGAGGGGAAGGGAGAGATGTTGATCAATGAGTCCTTGCCCTCACAAGTGCGCATGGTTGCACTGTAGTGTGACTGTTCCTGAGTAGCTGATTAAAGGGGAAGTCACACCTGATGGAGGAAGTCTGGAGGAGAAAGTGGGGAAGGAAATGGAAAGTGAAATGTGGAAGGAAGTGGGGGTGGGAGTTCTTAGAAGCCTAGGGTAGTCAAGAAAAAAAGTCTAGCATCCCAGATGTGGCGTGCAAGGTGGGTTTCAATTTTCCTGTCCAGTGACTGGGCATGGGCCCCATCGCCTGTGTCCAGGCTCTGTGCTGACCCAGCAAGAGCAGTGCTCAGTGGTGGTGGGAGCAAAGCCCCTCAACTTCTAGTTACCTTGGTCTGAGTCAAGGTAACTAGTCAAGGTTCTAGGTGACCCATGGACCTTTCTCCCACCCTGCTATTCTGGCAGATCATAAGTTTGTTCTTTGCTCAGGTGCTTGCCGAGTACCACAGCAGGGCAGAAGCCAGCAGAGCTGAAACAGCTCCTGTGGTGGAGGGCGTGGGCTAGAATGGCATCGGCTCAGGCAGGTCTGAACAGCGGACTTAGCTGACTGGGAAGTATCGTGTCCGGCCATCAGGCAGCCTCTGGGGAGATCTGCTGGCCTGGGCCCTTCTGAAAAGCCATGGCAAAGAAGGGCAGCCCAACTTCCACTCTGACCTGGGTCTGGGCACCTTCATCACTGGCATTATGTCTCCACGGAATGAAAGAAAACACTACTGTCAATGTCGTAGTGTTTGCTTTATTTAAAATCCTAAGGTTAAAAACATTCCCAAGTGGCACAGTAGAACCCATAAAGGAATATAATTTGGGATACAAAACTTTCTCAACCCCACTTTGCAGGCGGGTGCTGGCCCGTGATGTGCTGCTGGGTAATTCTTTGGCATGTAAGGAAATGGGCTATCCCATAAGGCCGCAAGAAATGTGGGTAAGTCAGTTAAAGTGCAATTCCGACGTCGCAGCCACGCAGAGGAGGCTTGGGTGTCGCTCAGCAGCCACAGCAGCTGGGCTGTCTCTGGAGAACATGCCACCAGACCCTATGGAAGCCCCTTTTATCAGGGATACCCCTGAAATTTACGGATATACTTAAATATTTTTAAAAAGTGCTTAGGAGGGGAAAAGTGTTATTAATTCTACCTTCCTGTTTCCTTGGAAGACACAATAAAGTGACCGGGGGCTCAAGCAAGTGCCCTTTGCGTGGACGTTCTGTAAACACGCACGGCCGAAGCCACGGTCTGCGCAGGCGGCGCTGGGTTCCGAGCAGCAGCAGGGAGGCCTCTCTGCTGACGCGCAACGCCACTGAGCCAAGGGTGGGGTGCTCCAAACCCAAAGTGGGGTTTAGAAAAGGAAGTCCCAACCATCGTGTTAGCATCGCAGAAGCGGGGCTCCCTCTGTGCGTCCAGGTGGCTGCCTCACCGTGGGTGACGGCTGTCTGCAGCAGGAGCTGGCCCCAGCTGCAGGAGCTGCAGTTTCTCACTTCTACTTTCCAACCTGGTGGGGCGTTTCAGTCCAGGTCCCTGCCAGAGGAGTTCTTGGCCTGCTGTGGGTCCAGGCCACCGGGTGATGGTGGCTCGAGTCCGCGGAGCTTTGTTGAGGTCACGCTTCCCCCAGAAGCCCTGCCGAGGGCGAGTGCGCCCGGCAGAGCTGTGTTCTTGGGGGAGGCCGATTAGTGATTCCTGGGGCAGTGGTGGACACGGCGGCTGGTAGTAATACAAAGAGGAACGGACTGTTATATAGAGTTGGGTGATCAAGGGGCTGGTGTTTTTTTTTTTTTTTTTTTTTTTCAAAATAGTAACCTGAGATCCCATGGATATTTCTTCCTGTTGATTTCTAGTGTAATTCAGTCTACTGGTTGGTACTATCATTTTCAATAGCTGTTTTCTGTGGTTGTTTACAACTTTTAAAGTCTCCCCTAAGCCCCCAAACTCCGTAAAGATGGGGCCCTGTTTAAAATAAGAATAAAGTTATGTATACAAGCCACAGAGAAACGGGCCTGGGTGTTCTCTAGCGGCCTGGTGCTCAGCAGCCCAGTGCCGACGTAGCAAGGGTGTGAGGACAGGGGTCTGTCCAGCACAGAGCAAACAAGCCTCAGCACCAGCTGTGGCCACCGGGCACCGAGTGGCCCCCCGAATACAACAGAGGTCTTTGTGCACAACTGCAATCAGCAACCAAGGTGGTGCAAGCCACCGCGGGCCCCGCGCTCCGGGAGCGGTGCTTCGGGTTGGCTTCCCACGGGCCGAGAGGGCTTCATGCTGCAGCGGCGTCAGATGGGATGCGCCAGGCCCTCACGGGAAGCGCATCACCTGCTTACTCAATGTTGCTTCTGGCTGCTCACGAGAGTGGCGACGCTAGCAGAAGGCCATCAGCTTGGCCAGAGTCCCCGTGGAATCCTGGGAAAGCTAGCCACTCGAAACATGACCCCAGGCTGCTTTGCTCTGGGTTCTTTAAATTGTTAGTTTCCTTCATGTGGTCAGCCATCTACTTTTGATGATCCTTTCCATGAGGGAGGGCAGACAATTTGCTCTGGAAGAATCTTCAGGCCGTTTAACAGGCTTTGGGAGACAGGCACTACCACCAAGTCTCTGAGCCCCTGACTGCCTCCGGTTACAGTAGAGAACTTCAGGACCTCGGCCAGCAGGAGGAGCTAGAGATGCTGATGGCTGCCTGGCAGAGGTGGCTAAGGAGAACGTAAAGAGGTCTGGCTTTTCTCTTGGCTAATCTATCTGGAACGTTCTGGTCACCATTCCCTATGCCCCACTTAAACTACCAGGTAGCTAAATCTCATGCTCAGGCAGGTCTGAGCCCACTGCAGGGTTATTTCCTTCGGCCCCTGCCTCTCTGCTGGTGTGTGCTGGGCTCGGCGTCAGTGCTTGATGTGCCCTGGGGGTCTCTGACCCAGACTCAAGCTGTCAACAACAGTCAGGCCAGGCTTGTGGATGACACCACCAAGTCTTGAGGTGCTCTGGCTTGGCCGCAGGCGAGCTGAAGGAGCAGCGGGGCCCTGTACTTGGGTTCTCAGATACCCCGTCCTACACCTGCCCTCAGGCCGCCAAAAAGGAAGGCTTCATCTGTCCCAAGGGGAGATGTCTCTTGGTGTCAGGTGCAGGTTGAGCAGCATGAACAGAACAATTGGGCCAGGGGCACCAAGAAGTGCCCCAAGACCAGATGCATGAGTTATGCCTGTTTTATAGTCGAGTCACCAGACTTCTGTTAAAATTTTTCAAAGTGGTTCTCATCCACAATATGGTAATTAGTCAGCATATCAGCAGGTGAAGCAGAAGCTCTTATTTATATAAATGAAGACAGGTCATCACCTGAGGAGTGAGGCCCAAGACCCCCCAAGATCCGGCTTGCTGGCCGTGCTCTGACGTCAGCTAGCACTTGGGGTTCAGCCTGCTGTGCAGGCCCTTGGTCCATCGGTGGGCTCTGTCTCCCGGGTCATCTTCACTTCTGATTTTAGGGTGATGTTCTGAGCTGCAGAGAGTGTGAAGGGCTCAACTCACGGCCAGGACTGGACTGCCTCGACAGACGGGCCCGGAGCAGCTTAGGGGCCTTCCCAAACTGCTGAGCGGGAGCAGCCCGCCACTACCGTGGGCAGGTGGGGCTGGGGCATGGCGGAGGCTGCAAGGATCTTGGGGGCGGTGCCCAGACTCACGGCGGCCCTGTGGCCCTCTCTTGGGGGAGCACCAGGGCCTCAGGCATGCAGACTGCGTTCACAGGCACCCAGGGGGTGGGGCAGGGCAGAAGAGGGCATGTCTTTTCACGGGCAGCAGCTGGATTCACGTCTGGCCTACAAAGCTCTCCACAGGTGACCTGTAACCAAGTGTGCCCCACGAGAGGCCAAGGGTCTCCTCGGTCTGTAAACCTTTGGGGGTGAGGACAGTTGGGTTCCTCCTAATCCATCGAAATGTCACCTGAGCCCTGAAAAGCCACGGGCTAAGAGTGCTGCTGTGTAGTGAGTGCAGCGTTCACACGCCCTGGAGCCGTGCAGCGCAGAGGGGCGGTGGTGCTGCTCCCAGAGGGGCATCTGTCAGCTTCTGAGCTGCTGTTGCTGCTCCTTTTCTTAATTTTTCTTTCTTTCTTAAGTGCTTTATGTGATAAATGAGGAAGAGTAGTGTTTCCTATGGATAAAGTGAAACTACTGAAATCTGAGCGCTCGAGGCTACGGGAAATCACTTCCATCGTAGATCACAGGCCGGTCAACTGTCAAGCGGTAAAATACTTTCTTGGAGACAAACCTGAGGGGACAGAAATGAAAAGGAGGGTGTTACCCTGACAGTGGGGAGCCCGAGGGGCAGCAGCACTGCTGAGCAGCGAGCTGGCCAGGTGTGTGCTGGCTGCTGGCTGCGAGGGGGGCAGGAGTCCTGCACCCTCAGGCTCCCCGCCCCATTTCTGCAAGGGGTCAAGGGGGGTCTAAGGACAAGACCACGGACTCTGCAGGACCTGGGAGCAGCACACCGTGCAGGCCCTGCTGAGTCACCTGTTCCCCTCGGGGTCCAGGTGGTCTGGGCTGCATGGGTTGCGGTGGATGGAGAAGGGGCGACAGGAGGTAGGTGGTGGAGGGGGACACGGATGTCGTGTGACTGGGCGTGTGCACTGCCCCGCCACCCCGGGCTGGGACTCTCCACTAGGCCCTGAGATGAGTGGGGTTTGCCACAGAAGCACGGCCGCCCCAGTGGTAGTGGGAGGCCTGAGCCTGAGCCTGCCTCAGTGTGGGGAAAGGGGCGAGGGCCAGGCAAGCGGGACGCGCACCCTCTAACCTCTCCTCTGGCTGGCACTGCTGCGCACAAGCCCTGGGGGTCCCAAGCCTAGGGGTGGGGTGGGGGCCGGTGCAGCTGTCCTCTAGAGTACCCGATCAACTTATTCTGCCATAAGCCACGTGGGCTGTGGCCACTCTGAGCCCCACACAGGGGCTGCCCAGGCAGGCCTTGTAAAAGAGGCGGCCGCAACGAGGGGCTTCTGCTGTCACCCGAAGACAGAGGAGACGGGAGCCCTGCAGCCCCACCGCTCTCCCGACTCCGCGCAGAGGGCCCGGCTCGCGGTGCTCCTCCCGGCTGCCCTCGGTCCCGCTTCCCTCCCTGGCTGCCCCTCCAGCCGCAGCCTACATGGCCCCGCCCCTGCCCCCAAGACCCACAGCGCTGGGCCTGCTATGTGCCTCGCGGGGCACGGGCTGCTCTGCGCCCTTGTCGGAGCAGCACGGCCCGCGCTAAGCTTCCGTGAGCCTAGGCCGGTGTGCTGCAGAGCTGTAACAGGCGCCGGAACACCCTAACGCAGGGGTCGAAAATCAGAGAACTCTTAACAGTAAATCGCTGCCAGTTCAATAATCTCTTTCTAAGCGTCCACCTCAGTTCTTGAGGCCAGGTGGACTCACCTGGAGGCTGACGAGTGAGGCGGCCCTACCTGGAAAAGGTGTTGTCGAAGATGAGCATGTAGATGCCGGGGGTGCGGACCTTGAGCTGGCCCTGGATGTTCTCCTTGTGGGAATTGCATCGGGTTGTGGGAATGAGGACCTGGGGGGGAAAGCAGGTGAGAAGCGTCACGGAGGCGGAGGCGGAGGCGGGCCAGGGTGGGGAGAGCCTGACAGGAGCTAAAGGAGAGGGGCTGGTCCTCCATGTGCCGCCCTCTGCTGCCAGCGTCTCTCCAAGCACACCCAAGGCTATTCTCGCCCAAGGCCATTCTACCAGTCTGGCCTGTGGGCCTCCTCCCTTGATTGCTGCCTCCCCAGTGCTGCCACAGAGCCTGCACACCCCCACCAAGACACCACCACCTGGAATCACAGCTGTCTATTTACTCTGGTCTCCTTCCAGCTGCACTGGGAGCGCCTCAAAGGCAGACCCCAGGTTGTCTTGTCTAACCCCTGGGCTCCCACGGAGCCCAGTATACAGCAGAAGCTCAGCAAATGGCTGTGCACAGATTGGTCTCTACCCCCACGCCCTCCACGGTCAGGAAATCTCAGGGCCACCCTCTGCCTGGTATCCGCTGTTTCCTATAAGGTGCGGCTGGCAGGGAAGCACACAGGGCGTCCCTGGGGCAGATGCTGAGGACATGTGCTGGCTGATGTCTGTTTGGAGACCTGAGTCAGAAATAACAGCTGCCTCCCACAGCTGGCAGGTGACTGGGACCAAGAGGCAGGAACCCTGGGCATTCTCCCTGTAGATGGGCTCATTCTGCCCCCTGGTGTCCACTGTGGGAAAGACAAGATCACCCACAGGACTACCTGGAAGCACAGCTGCAGAAAGCTTCTCAAGACTGTGGGGTTTCTGATTCCCGGAAGGAACCACACACGTCTCGAGGGCCACGAGGCATTGGCGAGGTGCTAGGGAAGAGACCCATGGCTCAGCCACAGTGAGCAGGTGCAATGGTGAAGGCCCGGTCACTTGCTTTGGTTCCCTCCCTCCTGCCAGTTCACTAGCACCTATTCTGGGAGAGGACAGTGTGAGGTGCTTGGCGGGCCTTGGGAATAGGGGGGCGAATGGCGAGGCAGAGGCGGCAGCCAAGTTCCTGGCAGGACAGCTGTTTGTTGGCGCAGGCAGACAAACATCTGGTTAGACCGCTGTTCGCATAACTCCTCCCCAGCAAGTTTCCTTGGCTTCAGCTTCCTCACAAGCAAATGGCACCAAGACCTGCCTCGCAGAGCCAGCACCCCCCATGCCCAGCTGGCAAACTCGTTCTCAGGCCAAAAGCCCCAGGACCAGCTGGATGGAGGCTGAAAGCCCCTCGGAAAGGAGGCTCCGGCTAGGCATGGGCCTGGCTGCCCGCCCAGAAGGAGAGGGGCACAGCAGTGCCCACATGAAGCCAACACTTCAACTGACAAGGCTGCCCCAGGTGGGTGAAAATGAAATGTTAGGAGTGAATCTGAGGAAGACAGAAATGACGAAGCAACTTCTACAGGAAGACGCCAGCAGAGGGCACAGTGGGCCCAGTGGACACTGGCCCCCAGGGACGCTAGAATGGGGACTGCTCTGTGCCCCACCCTCCGGCCCCCAAGCCTGGCTCTCCTTCGGCTCCGGGTTTCCCCTTCCTCAAGGTAAGCCCCCTCATGGGCACCCAGGGGACCACGCAAATGACGGAATAGTGGATGAAAGCAAAGACCTCACAGAAGTCATGCAAACAGGTATTCCTGATTTCATCTTGACGCTTCTCACGCGTTGAGACAGGGAACCTGCAACTATGATAACAGCCAGGATCCACCTTAAGAGTAGGGCCAGCATGTCTGTCTTTACCATCGCTTTCGTTTGCAGTGATTCAGAGGCAACTCCAGTTTCCACCCAAGCCCGTTCTCCCTCCAATATTCCCCTGCCCGACTCCTTGTAGAGAGGCAGGCGTGGCATTCAGACCCCAGGCTCACGGCCACCCCAACCAATAAGCCCCACACAGCGTCACGTCTTCCTCAGCGTGGGCTTCCACTCCCTGCCTCTAGACCAACGGCTCTCAACCTTGTCTGCTCCCTGAATCGCCTTGGGGCACCTGGGTGCCACTCCTGGACATTCGGATTCAGAGGTCTGGGGAGTAGACGCAAGAGCTTCCCAGGTGTTTCTAGTGCGTAACAAGACGGAGAGCGACGGTCCCAGCCGCCATTCTGGCTGTTCCTACTGGTGACGTTGTGGCGAGATGCTGCAAACCCTCCGCGGTGAGAAGCGGAGGGCCACCGCCTCCTGCAGGGACCCGTCCCTGCTCTCTACAGCTCTGCCGAAAACGACTCTTGTACCGAGTCCTGCGTCTATGTTCCTCTGAGTGTCGCCTTCCAGTCTATCCCCCCAGCAGCAACTCCAGGCCTTCGAGACTCTCAGCCTCCAGGTCGTTCCTTCCTGAAGCCTGACAAGCCCAGGTGTTTGGCTGCTGTGTACGATGTAGCCCAGACGGTATCCCACCTGCCTTCTTTCTGCGTTCTTCTCATGGCAGGAACCCAGAACTTTCTAGGTGAGGCTTGCCCAGAAGGCAGGATGGCCGTGGCTCTGCGCTAGGAAAGGTCTGTCCAAAGACCCCGACATGTGAGCAAGGGGCTTGCAGGCGTGCAGCCGGGCTTACCTTACACTGATCCAGCGGGGTGTCGTCTGCCTCCTGGAAGACCACGCTGAAGGAGATGCTCTTGGGGTCGGAGGAGAAGACCCAGCTGATGGTGAGGCCTGCCTCCGCCACGGTGATGGGGATGACGCTGTAGGTGCTGGACCTCACAAACAGCTCCCTGCTGCCCTCCCCAAAGTTGACAATCTCGTCCACCGTGAGGGGTAACTTTATCCTAAAATACCAATCAGAGAGGGACTTGCTCAAATAGACCAAGTGTGGCTACAGACCTGGAAGCTCTTGAGAGGAAAACAACTACATAACCTTGACCAGCTTGCTGAGTTATGGGAGAAAACCGGAAACACAGCTCCTCCCAACAGATGAGCTGAGCACTGACCACATCTGGCATAGTTCCCAGGTCTGGCATAGTTCTAGGCACTGGGAACAAGGAGTCAAAGTGGGGCTGGTGTGCGCCCGTGAGCTTGTCGGAGCTGCGCGTCCTGGGGGGCAGGAAGTCAGTGCTGAACCCTCAGCCCTCACCCCGGAGCTGTCCTGCAGCCGGATGCCTTTCTCTCTCCCCTACCTCTTTCCAGCTTCCTGCCCCCGTTAGCACCGGCAGAAGCACACTCACCGGGAACCTTGTCCTTTAGACGTCCCCCTTCTCAGCGGAAATCTGGGGCCTTAGACAGACACATCTCGGGCGCTGTACAGTGTAGGGGTGGTGGGGCAGTGTGGTGGCCTTGGGGAGATAAGCTGCTTGGGGCTGTGTCCCTGGCTCTTACTCCCTAAGTGAATAAGAGCTTCTTTGAAAAGTATAGTGAGTTTAGTGGTGACACGTTCCTCTGATTTCAGGGACCCTCGCAGGACCTGTGTGACATGGAGTGAAGCATGTGAGGCGTGGAGCTGGAGGATGTGGGTGCTGGCTCCTTGCCTTGCTTCTTCTCTGCTGCAGTGTTTAACTTGAGCCTGTTTCCTGAGCTGCAACCGAGAACCATGTGGCCTCTTGACTGAGCAAAGGCTACAGGGAAAATGAACCTGACATTCACTCCTGGAGGCCGCGTGTCTCGATGAGCGGCGCTCCCTCGTGTGCCCGGCAGCACGGAGGCACTCAGGGTCCGTGAGTGAGAGGCTGAACACCTCCATGCGGGACTATGAAGCAGTTAACCGCCCCTGGGCACAGCAGCAGCATGGGCTTGGGCAAGCCTCATGCCCACTGTGAAATGAGAAGGTGGTGTCACTGCACGCCAGGCCCCATCTTCCGGCTTCACGTAGCATCTCAGTGGCCACATGAGGAGGCAGGACGCGCCCAGTTACCCGTGAGGAAGGTACGTTCAAAGGACAGAAATCCGATCAGTGCCCACACAGCTGTGACTGAAGGCCACTACCCCTCTACTACACTAAATCTGCATGAAGAAAACATTTTAACACAGGCAGCAGGAGCTTGGTGAGGGTGGGGAACTTGGGAACTTGTCCCAAACGGCACAGCACGCAAGTGGTGGAGCTGATCTGTTTGTGTCCAGACTCGTGGAGCCAGGTGGGAATTCCCCGCTCTCCAGACTGTGCTAGTGACAAGTCATCAGTGTTTAAAAGACCTAAATGTTCTAGAGAACAACGATTCACCTTTGTGAAGACTGAATTCCACGTAACATGTTTTCTGTGTTCATTTAAGCATTATTTCTAATGCTGGTACAAGAGGCCCTTCCAGGAGTTATCATTGTCAGCCCTCCGAGAGTGGGAGGAGAGGGGCATTCTGGGGAAGAGCTGCACCTTCCAACAGGACTGTTGCTCTACAGGGGGGCTTCTGACTGTATGTAAAACTAAAAACAGAACAAAACAAACACACACACAGCCAGCCGCCACCAGTCTGAGTCGGTGCTCGGTGCTTCCTGGCCTGCACCAGGCCCGGGCGGCCCCGTGCTGCTGCTCCCCAAATGTCACACTGGCCGTCTGGCTCAGCGAACTGTCACTCACATCAGTTCTCCAGACTTCAGCAAGCAGATCTCAGCATCCTGTCCCCCAAGCACGTCCTCTGTGTCCTCAGGGGTCAGTGAGTTGGACGTGGTGTCCCTGAAATGCCATAAACGAGAAGACATTCAGCTCCCAGCATGCGGGTCCCAAACCCGAGGCCCAGTGTCTTGGCTCCACACAGCCAACCTCACCATGCACGGAGAGCCCTGCGGTCCCGCGGCCAGGCCAGACGCCGGCCGTGGGGCTGCGAGGCTATTTATGGGGCTCTTGGTTTGATGGTGTCTACACCGACATCCTGGGGTGGTCATGCAAAGTGGATCTCGCTCTGTGGTAAGGTGGGTCAGGAAAGGTCCAGGCAGCTCTGCTAGAGGTCCTCAAAGGATCACAAGCGTCTGAGAATTTAGGAAATGAGCGGCCACCAGAGGGCACCCTGCTACCGGAGCCCTGCTCTCCCTGCTCTTGGCATTTTTCTCAGAAAAGATGAGACAAGTTCTCTACCCCAAAACCGGCCTTGCCTGAGGCATGAGTGTTTGTCCATCAGCTCACCCCTCTAGGGTGGCAGCCTTGGCAGCCCTGAACACCTGCTTGCTCACCACCTATGCGGGAGCACTGTCCAGATCACAGGCCTCGGGGGGAGGGGGTGTAACGGCCCAAATGTCCCCAGCAGATGTCATGACCAAGGCGCCACGTAGACCCACGACAGAATAAAGTGGCCAGGAACAAGGTGGATGCCGAGGCGGTGCCTGGCGCGCTGTCGGGTGGCCACACCTGTCTGTGTGGGTCCTGCAGACTGCTGAACTCTATTTGTTCTCACAAATCAAAATGCCTTTGCCTCCTTTCATTTATTATTGTCTGGCCTTGAGCCTGCAGCCAGCAGGGGCAGACTCTGGTTTCTGAGACTGGCTGCCGGTCTTCCCAGAGCACGCCACCTGTGCCTTGGCATCGCTCAGCCGATACGGTGAGTAAAGTGATGCCCTCACTGATTACACAGCACCCTACGGCCTCTCAGGTGAGCTGCTACCCATGGTCAGTCTCCTGGGAACCAAGAAGTCTTCAGTCACGACTCCACGGCCCAAGGCAGCAACTAGCCTCAGATAGGCCTCTCCAATGTAATTTCACCAAAATTAAAAAACAACAAAAAAACCCACTCAGTTTGGCTCCTCGGTGGGACCAGTCACATGTGGAGTGCTCAACAGCCACAGGCTAGTGGTCACTGCCGGACAAAGCAGGCACAGGCCCAGCCACTGGCCACCCCAGAAGGCTGTGCTCAGCGCGGGTTTTGGAAGACTGGCCTGAGTCATGCCGCGGCCTTATCCTCCGGTTCTGGGGCATCTATCTAACTGTCACACCACTTGTAGCTTTTCTTTTAGTCACTGGCTTCCTTTTGCCAAAAAAGCAAGTGAAGAAAAGCAATTCTGACACCTTGATGTCCAGCTACCTGGTATCAACAGTCTGACAGCAAATGTATTAAGAACGACTCCAACATCCCTGTGTGCACAAACCCACAACAGCATCCGGGCCTGCTGGGCAAGCCCTGCTCCCTCACTTGCACTGGTTGTGGAGGCTGCTTTTCTGGGTGATGTGTGGTCAGTGAAAGCAACACCTGCCTCCCCCCCCCACACACACAGGTGCCCGGCAGCTCAGACTATTCCTGCGTCCTGGGATGGACATCCTTTCTAGCGCCCAGCCCCGCAGGTCGGTTCCAGGGGCGTGTGCAGGTGAACAGTCTGACTCTGGGCTACTTCCTTTCTTCTCCACATGCTCTGTAGGAAATGTTTACGTGTACCTGGGGAAATCCAAGACACGGCTGGGTATTTACAGAGTTTATAGAGTTTTGTTTCAAAGTCAAGAATGAACAATGAACACTAGAAGTTAGCTTCTAAGGAAAGACAGTTGAAATACAATTCTGGTCCCCATATTGTGAGTGGCTCTTCCCACTCAGTCACATTTCCCACTGGAGAACAGTTATGACTCATCCAGGCACCCTGTGGCTACTCAATGCCATCGACCCGCCGCCAGCAAGTGCATGCACATGGTCACAGGCAGCGTCCTGCGACCCAGCCCAACGGCAGTTGGCTTGTCTCTGGGGAAAACTCATCTCTCAAAGCTTAAAGATTCCAAAATACCAGAGAAGGTAACTCTCATGATCGTCTGGCCCTGAAGTCTTTCAGAAGCATGTATCTTTGGCCTATCTCCCCTTCAGCATTTGCCAGTTCATCTGTTCACCTGTCCACCAGCCACCCATCCATTCAACTATCAAGCCACCTTCCTTCCAGAGGGACCTATTCTATGTGACCTCATGCTTCCTGCCCTCAGTGAACACCTTGCTCACTCCTAACAGACTGATAGGACAGTTTGAACCACTACATTAAAAAAGAGAGGGGGGGGGCCCTCTCTGGTGGCTCAGCAGGTTAAAGCGCAGCACTAAGAAGCGAAAGCCACTTGAGCAAGAGTTCAATCCCCGCCCCGGAGGTGACCCACATAGCGTGGCAAATGTCTCCTGACCCACCTGCTGCTCCCCTCAGCAGTGTATTTCAATTGATCTACCTGTTCTGGTCCCTACTATGTCTGTGGTGAAGCCTCTCACTGCCCCTGCACCTCTGGCCCGTACCCCAGTTCTCTGTGCATAAATAAATAAATCTTAAAAAAAAAAAAAGAGAGAGAGAGAGAGCCTTGAAAATCCACTAGAGGTCTTCAGAGCCCTGGGATAGCTCCATAGTATGGAAGGCTGATCCAGGGAACACAGACTGCAGCCAGCCCAACCCTGGGTGACTCCTGGCAGCATGGACATGCTGGGCAAGTAATCTCATCTCTAGCTCTATGCTTAGCATCTGGAAGTGAAGGGATTGCGTGACTGCAGGCGGGAGGCATGGGCCAGGCTCCCTGCAAAGCTGAGTTTCAGTCTCTAGGCCTCAGGATCTCTCCCAGTCCCTGCTTCCAATGTTTGACACTCTGCCCTCTGGAAGGCGTGCCCAGCAAGCGGGGCACAGATCAGCAATCCTAAGGGAAGCAGACTGGATAGGTGACTGATGACTGACAGAGCAAAAGGGAGTCCTCAATTCTACTCAGTACCTTTTCCATAGAGGAGAGGTATTGGGATCACACAACAAGGCAGATGTTTCTCCAACTCTTGCCTTCTAGGCATCATTTCCTAGAATATCAGTTGTTTTGGATTATGGAGCCTAATGACTAGAACTGTTTTGTGTTTAAAGTGTTCAATATCTGGGCAGTTTCTGAAACAGAAATGGCAGCCTCAGAAAACCACATGATTCCAGCTGATAAGCAGGAGCCCCATTGATTCAGGAGGTGGGGCTGCATCGGGTCTTCTGGCAGACCCATCGCCTGGACACTATCTGTTCCGATAACGAGACCTGGGTTTATATGGGGGGAAATGCCAGTTATTAACTGCGTGCATGGGAGCTGCCCCTGTTTATGGCCCCCAGGTTTCACATCGACGAAGTGGGGGTAATACCTGCTTGGCAGGACTGCTGAGAGGCCTGGGGCTGCCTGCATTGGAGCTGCATGCATACCCAGAGCCCAGCGCCTGCAGGACTCTGCCTTGGCCCAGAGCCAACACGTTCCAAAGACATTGCAGGCCCAGTGAACGAAAGCTTTAAGACACAAATGCCTTCGTCTTTCGGGGCGTGGCAGAATCAAACCTACTGACTACTCACACCCTTCTCAGATCTCCCTGAATTAAGCCCCCAGTCTGGGTGCAGGGGGTGTGGAGTATCACTCTTTTATCTCTTTGATCTCTAAATTACACAGGGTCAAGATGTCACATGGATTCTAGTTTGTAAGATGCAGGGTAGGGCATGTGGTCTCTTGTCATAGCCAATGGAGAGCTCACAAACACTCAGCGGAAATAAGGTATGACAGAAGCAGAGACAGGCCTTCTGCTGCGAGCAAGCTCGTCTCTGGAACAACGACGCGCACTCTCTCTGCTGGTGAGTCATTTACTCCCCTTGATAGTTAAGAGGGGCCCCACTCCAGGTGCTGGGGTTCTGACTGCTCCCTGCACACTGTGGTGCCAACTGTCCAGGCTTTAGAGCCCAACTACTCTTGGTTTGAATTCTACCGCTGCACTGGCTGCCCAGAGCAGTGTGCAAGTGACTTCACGTGGCCCTGGGCGCAGTCTGAGGGTGGAAGGTGGTGGCGCTGGGAGAAGCAGCATGTCTACACCATCCTGGGAGAAGAGTCTTTGTCGCTGGCTGTCTGCTCACTGAGTGGGCTCTCTATTTTTCTTTTGTTTCTTTTACATTTTACAAGAGGCAGATGATGAAGATTATTGTTTACTTTTCTCATTATAAGTCCATAAACTACTGTAGAAGCTTTAAGATATGCCAATATTGAGGAAAGGAAATAAGTCACCCCTAATATCACCAATCAGAAGTGAAGTGAGGATGAAAATTGGTTGTTTTCAACATCAAAAAAACATAGTAAAAAAAAATACAGCGTACCATGGACTCTTAAATAACAGCCCACAGGATACGGGGCAGAGGATGCGTGGGGTCATGGCCCACCAAACTGCAGGTGTGTACACACTATTTCTGAGGGAAAGATTGATGACAATTTTATGAGGTTCTCAGGGAGGTTATGATCAAAGATGATTAAGAGTCAAGACCATGCCTTTTACATCAATTTTACATCATTTTGACCATGTATTTATTATAATAACAGCCTTTAGTTCTGTGGTGTACAGCTTTTCTCCCCAAAGTAGAATGCCCCAACTTGGTATGATTTGGTGGTTATTTTTTGCATCTGGGAACACTAGAAACTTTCCACATAACTTAACAGTTAATAGCATTTCTAGACCCCCAAATAACCTGTCCAATCATACTAAATAGGCACATTCTACTTTTAGGTAGTGGGGAAAACTGGCATTGACTTCAGACTCAAACTGGAGCAATGAAATGTATGGGATTTTCCAAAATAGGCACTTCCTAAATATACTGCAGTCACTTTCCCTTTTATGTCTGAATTGTAATTCCCTCCTAAATATACTGCAGTCCCTTTCCCTTTTATGTCTGAATTATAATTCATTACAATTGTTAAGATATTTGTGCTATTTCCAAGTTGTATGTATTACTTTAATTTCCACAAATCAACATATGATTTTGGTTATAGAAAATAAAGAAATGAATGGTTTTAATGTTTCTAGATGAGTAAGTCATTTTTAATATCCTATCTATGCAACTGTGCCATCCCAACTAGCTGACAGTATACTGAAATTCACCAATTACTACAAATGAGTTCAAATAGGTCCTTCGAGAAGACATGCAATGCTGTGTAAATAGCTCTATAGCAATAGCCCTAACCAGAGGATCTTTTTTGGTTTTTTAAGTCAAGGATTAGTCAACAATAGTGGAGATTTGACATTACTTTTCACGAAACCAAAACAGCCAGCTTCACATTTTAAATGATAAAAGAAAATGCTTGTCTCCTGTGCGAAGCAGTGACACACACATCATCGCCTGACCTACCAGACCCAGTTGCCCAGAGAGCTGGTCGTGTGACAGTGAGTGGCTGGCCCGTTACTCTGAGAAAGCTAACATCGTGCCATCTTGAAGCAGGCACTTTTCTTTAACTTGATGTATTTCCATCTATTTATCTTTGCCTTCACTATTGTGGCGTTGGGTGCTCTGTCTTTAAAGATGTCGCTGAAGTGTATGTCGTGTAGTGTTTGACCCATCTTTGCTTCTAGGTATTTTATGGTTTCTGTTCTTATGTCTAGGCCTTTAATCCACTTCGAGTTGATTTTTGTGACTGGAGTGAGGCAATGATCTAGTTTCATTTTTTTGCATGTAGCACCATTTGCTGAACGAATTTTCTTTGTTCCATTGTATCTTCTTTGCTCCTTTGTAAAAAATTAGGTGTCCATAAACTTGGGGGTTTATATCTGGGTTTTCTATTCAAATCCACTAGTCTGTATGTCTATTCTTATTCCAGTACCATGCAGTTTTGATTATTATGGCTTTGTAGTAGAGCTTGAAGTTTGGGATTGTAATGCCTCCATTTTTATTTTTCTTAGACATGAGCGTTTTGGCTATTCGAGGTCTTTTGTTGTTCCATATGAATCTCATCAACATTTTTTTCTATTTCTTTGAAGAATGTCATTGAGATTTTTATGGGGATGGCATTAAATCTGTATATTGCTTTTGGCAGGATGGCCATTTTGATGATGTTAATTCTCCCGATCCATGAGCAGGGGATGCCTTTCCATTTCATGGTGTCTTCTTGTATTTCTTTTAACAGTGTTTTGTAATTTTCTTTGTAGGGGTCTTTTACCTCCTTTGTTAGGTTGACTCCCAGGTATTTGATTCTTTTTGTTTTAATTGAAAAGGGGATGGTTTTTTTTAAATCTCTGCTTCTTCTGATTGGTTGTTTGTGTATAGGAAAGCCTCTGACTTTTGTGTGTTGATATCCGCAGCAGGCACTTTTCACTGAGTAGTTTTATCCCAAAGGCAAGTTCTTTCATGGAGAGAAAGGGTGCTGAGCCCCCAAGAAAGAGAGGAGATGGCTCCAGGGCTGACACTGTTTCCAGCTGGTAGGAAACATCTCCAAGAGGATGTCTCTTCTTTTCTATGTCTTGGTCTGACCAGCATTTGCTAAACCAAATGCTGCTCTCCTGAAAACATCTTCTCGGTGCCAGCAGGCTGCTGGCAACAAGCCACAGAACAGTGAGGAACCGTAGGTCAGTGGCACGGATGGCTGGGCACTCCGAGGCCAGTGGTGCCACAGCTGCCCTTGCTCCCATGGCACAGGTGACACCATCTGTCTGTGGTCCTCATCAGGGTTGCAGGTAGAGAGGAGGACCAGAGGGAAGTGGCAGCCTTGATGGGGATGGGGAGCCCCAGGCAAAAAGAGCAGCTCTTTGATCTTCGCTACAATCCTCACCTGGTTGGTTCACTGCAGAAGCCCACCCAGCTGGTGCGCCACTTAACGAGGTCTTCCATTTGTTTAAGGAGACCCCTCAGCCCTAAACTGCTAATCATAAAAGCTAAAGTCATATTTCTTTCTGGGGAAATCTACCTTTTAGAGATTCCTGAGAATCAAAATGTCAGGAACAAGGTTCCGATGGTGGAATGCCATAAACTGTGACAGATGGTAAAAGGAAGTTTGAGTATGAGAACTCCCCAGTTCCTGGTCATGGAACCAAACTTAGCCAAAGTGCTGGGCAGCCAAGGGCTTTTCTACACTTTATTACCCTATTACTCATCTTAAATCTGTTCAAAGGAAGCCAAGAAACAACAGAACAGGTAAAAAGGGGTGGTCATCCCCAAACATCCCCTGGTTTCCAGGAGCCTCGTTGATGGTGGACACCCCCGGAAGGGGTTTGATGGAACATGAAGCGGGGCCGGATAGGTAGGCAATTGCTAAGGCAAGGCCAGGTGAAGCCAGGCGCTCCCCTTCAAAGAACAACACAGCTCTTCCAAAAATGCACTGGCCCACTTCACCCAGGGACCCTTGTGTTCAAGACCATTTGACATGCAACTTAAGCAGATGTACATGGGTCCAGTTAAGTGTAATCCCCCAAGTGGGTGAGACCCCCAGAATTTTAGAGTGAATGACGAGCCCTTAAGCCTACCTCCTGTCACATCTGGCTATCTCCTGTAGACCATGCCATCACTGAGCAGAATAGCAGGTGGGGTTAGGAGACTATTTGCCCGCCAAACAGTGTGACAGGAGAATGAGAAGACAGGAGGTGACATCACTCGCAACCTCAAATATAATTCCTGTGTTCTGATTCTAGGTGTTCCTTGGCACTGACATCATGGATGAGTTGGATGAATTCTTCAGCACTTCCAATGACAGCAGCCAGGCGCATACACGCTTCCTGCAGTTCCACAAGTTCTTTCTGCCCTGCATGTATGTGGTGGTGTTCATCTGTGGCCTGGTGGGGAACTCCCTGGTGTTGATCATATACATCTTCTACCAGAGGCTGAAGAGTCTCACAGACTTGTTCCTGATGAACCTACCACTGGCCGACCTGTTGTTTGTTAGCACTCTGCCCTTCTGGGCCTACACAGGGTTCCATGAGTGGGTCTTTGGCAACATCATGTGCAAAACCATGCTGGGCATCTACACAATGAACTTTTATACATCCATGCTCATCCTCACTTGTATCACTGTGGACCGCTTCATAGCGGTGGCTTGGGTCACCAAGGCCTACAATGAGCAGGGCAAGTGGATGACCTGGGGCAAGGCCATCTGCTCGTCTGTCTGGGTGGTCTCCCTGCTGGGTTCCTTGCCACAGATCATCTATGGCAGTGTCCAACACCTGGACAAGTCCATCTGTGGCTATCATGAAGAGGAAATTTCCGTTGTAGTTCTTGCCACTCAGATGACATTAGGGTTCTTCCTGCCATTGCTCGCCATGATTGTCTGCTACTCAGTCATAATCAAGATCCTGCATCATGTCCAAGGCTTCCAGAAACACAAGTCTTTAAAGATCATCTTCCTGATAGTATCTGTGTTCTTGCTTACCCAGACACCCTTCAATCTTGTAAAGCTCATCTGCAGTACAAGCTGGGAGTACTACACCATGACCAGCTTTTACTATGCCATAACAGTGACAGAGGTCATCGCCTACCTGCGGGCCTGTTTTAATCCTGTACTGTATGCCTTTGTTGGCCAGAAGTTTCGGAAGAACTTCAGGAAACTTTTAAAAGACATTGGCTGCCCTTACCTGGGGCCCTCAAATCAACGGAAGTCTTCTGAGAGTACTTATAAGACTTGTTCTACCACCCACAACGTGGAAGCGAGTAGCATGTTCCAGTTGTAGGCCTCAGGTCTGGAAAGCTCCTCAGGGATTTACCGGAGCATGGCTGAGTCCTCTAGGAGGCTGTTTATAGCTTGTGCATTCTCATTGGCGAAGGAGTCAAGTGCTGCGGAATGAACTTCTTAGACACCCACATGCTGTGTCATGACCATATTTGGTTTTCTTCTCCAATACCTGGGCTTAAAGCTCAAAGGGAGTCTAGAAACTGTAAAGGGCTTTGCCTCCTCTCGCCCCAAGAATAAGGGTATGATGTGGGACTCCTAAGACACCAGGTTCTCCTTTATCGGGACCAGAGCTGAAAGCTGAGGGGGGAACACAGCTAACAGTGTTGCAGGGACACTCTGGGCTCCCAGGTTTGAAAGATTCTTGTGGCTACTGGGAAGCCAGAGTGATGAGAGCAGCCATGAAAACAAGTGCTGGCATAATGCTCAGATCACAACCGCCAGGCACTTAGCAGGTGAGAAGAGGTTGTGCCTCCCCTTGGGGCTTGACTGACACAGGTACAAATGTATACTCCTTTTGATTAAACCTGGAAGGTCTGGCCCCAGGATATATGAATGGGCCAGAAGCAATTAGATTTGGCTGAGATTTCCAATAGCCCAGAGAATGCTAAAAAAATGTAAATGTGCAAAGCAGAGTTTCAGACTATGAAAATTCTAAACAGCACTTCTGAAATGGGTTCTTTGGCAGATTTACTCATTTAAAATTTGAATTATCCAATGCCTGGCACACACATAAATCACATGTAAGTGTATATAGCACATAAACATCAAAGAGCGTCTGATTTTCATGACTAAGAAATAAACCTCTGAAAAAGCTTATTTATCCTTAAATATTTTATCCTGAGGCACATTCTACTTTAATGCTTCCTGCCTGGATACACCAAAAATGATACTGTGGACTCAGAGCACAGGAAAAAGTTTAAATGTATACTTTCAGGGTACAGTTCTGTCAAGGAAGTGGACTATACCAGCGATGACAGCATCTCATTCCAACCTCCTGCCCAAAATGTGTGGTGCATGTTTAACCTGCTTGACACAGTCAAGCAGGAGGCTGAATTTTAAATATCAAAGTCTTGTGTGTGTTTATGAAATCCCAGCACTCTGTCCAGCAGGCATAAAGTTGCTTTTTTGGCTCATGCCTCACTATTAGTCACTGCAAATGGAGAACCAACTAACAGGTAAAGAGAGCGGATAGGGAGGTGGGCCAGAACTGGTGGTGCACGCGGCTTTGAGGTCCAGGTAGACCAGCGTGCGTCCAGCCCCACCCCTCGCTAGTTGTAGGACTGGTTGGTGACCTCTGACGTGCTCTTGTTTTGGCGAAACATGGACCATAATAGTGCGCACCCCCCAGGACTGGCTGAGGACAGAAGATAACATGTAAAACAGCAAGGACAGTTTGTGGGTAGAGCACTGTTGTACTGGGGTATTGCAGAGTGGGTGCCACAAAGTGGAAGCCACCTGCCGCAGCCCGTGAGCTGGCACGGCTTGGGAGGTTTGCTTTGTGCCCTCTAGACGTGTGTGGCATGGCACACACACGCTAACCTAGCTGAGCTCGGACCAGGCCTTCTTGCAAGGCCCACATGGGCCTACCTACTGCTTCCTAAATGTGCCTAAATGTGTGTCTGGGCCGCCTGGACCCCAAGAGTGTCCTCCAGCAACAAAAACTGCCCTTTCCATGGTGACATGGCTGACATTCACCTTTTTCCAACTGGCTTCAAGGGGGAGTTTCTGTCACCTCCCTCTGCCCATTCCTCCTGATGTTGAGCCCTTCTGCCAGTGGGCTTTCCCTAACAGTGTCCCAGGCCAACAGGTAGAGACTCAGACTGGGAAGAAGTGAGTCAGGAAGCCAGGACTGCAGCATCTCCACATGTTCTCATATAAGGGATCAGCATGGGGTGATGGAAAAACTAGGTTCTGGGGACGCTGACACACTGGTTCAGTGAGAGCTCCACTTGCGTGCACCCTGAGCAAGCCCACTCCACCATGCCCCTGCTGGCAGTGATGCCACACACACACCCACCCCTCTGCTAGGATGTTGGTGAGGCATGGCCAGTGCACTCCGAGGGCCAGAGGGGCAGCTGCTGAGGCTGCCGAGCTGTCCCTGATGCCCATCTGGCTGAGAAAGGCAAAAAGGCCAGGAGCATGTGGAGCTGGGCCCTGGCCCAGGCCTGTGTGTTGCTCTCCCTCCAGGCTCACTCAGAGGGCCTTTCGCTGCCCTTCCACAGCTTAGGAAGCCCTGCTGCTGGCTCAGGAGCAGTGAGCGGCTGTCGTCCTTCGTCTTTCTCTGCCTCCTCAGTCACTCTCTGGCCCTTACCTGCTATACTGGGGCTAGGGGGTGAGGGGTGAGATACCATGTTCCTGACTCCGCCTCTGGTATACACTATTTCTGGCAACAGACACTGGTGCATACATGTAGTTCCAGACGGCTTTTGATTCTGACTTCATCCCATGCACACAACAGGCTCATGAAGTATAAGTTCCCAACTTTAGAACTGCTCTTCTCTGGACTCTACCCCCTGCTCTCAGGAGCCCATGATGTAAAAGGCCTGGTGACCAGGGGCAGGACTAGAGAAAGTGGCCAGTCAGGGGTGAACTCTGGCTGACTCTAGTCTGTGCTGGGTGTGCCTCAGAGTATGATAGTAAAGAAACATGCTCGCTCCTCAACATACACCAAGACTTGTTGGGGGGCAGGGAGTTGAGCAGGTGAGCTCCAGCCCTACAGATGCTGTAGATGGCCACAGAAACTGAGATATGGATTCAAGAGGGGGGGGGCAGCTTCCAGGGCTACCTGGGAGCCAGAAACCCAGTGAGCGTTCTGAGGTGAGGAAATGGTGCAGGAGAGTAAAGCCTGATGCTGCCCCAGAGGGTGGGGGTCAGAGCAAAGAACACAGGGCCCAAGAATGTCAGGGTGCTCACTCCAGCCTGGTCCCAAGGGGGTCTCAAGGAAACACCCCTTTCCTTGTGCCCAGTACTTCGTGGCCCATGGTAACTCCCAATGCTGTGTTGTAGAATGCCCAGCACTGTCACCCTGCTTCCAGAGGAAGAAACGATTATTACTAGTTCAGAGAGATTCTTACACACCAAGGTGCACCCGGCAGAGCTACAGTTAGGCACCTATGAGCAGCCTCTGTCTCTGCCCCAGATGTTGGCTGGAGCCTTCATGCAGGGATGGGCTGAGGTCAGCGGCCGGCTCGTCAGTGGAGACGCTCAGTTAACCTCAGCATGGGTAACTTAATCATTACCGCCATATCCTGTTGTTTTGTTTCTGAGACAACAGGCGCCCTTGTTTGTTACCAGCCAGGTAACAACACGCACAGTTCTCCAGCACACCCTGAGAAGCCGCAGTTCTATAGCTGTTACCAGGAAAGATGTGCTGTGAGTGGGAGTTTGGAAACTTAAACTCTGGGGGTGCGTTTAAGTTCAGTGTCATGTGGGCATCCGGTGTGATTTTCCTTGGAGAGGAGACACTGAGGCACCAGGAACAAGGTCCTAAGTCCAGGCACACTCTGCCCTGGACATCACTCCTCAGGGCCAAAGAGCACGCAAACTGTGCACCAACACAGAGAGCTCCCCAGGGGCCAGGCACTGCGCTCAATGCTTTGCACCCATCATTCCCCTCGAGCCTAAGAACCCCAGGGAGCTGAGTGCTGTTCCTGTCTCTTCCTGGCAGGTGAGGAAACAGCTCAGGCAGCTGTGGTGCCCACAGGCATGGCAGGCCAGCCTCTTCACTGCCAGCTAGTCTATTTCAGACAGGGCAGCTGGGAGTGGATGGAAGCTGAGCTGGGTACTTGGGTTCATCTCCAGCCATTGCACAGGAAGGTGGGAGATAAGGCCAGGCCCTTCACTGGCACGCAGGGCTGACTCCTCAGTTTCCTTTCCCAGGGATACTTCCTGATTTTCCACTATTGAGAACACATATATGTCAGTGCTCAGAACACCTTTTGTTTTTGTTCCTACTGGGGAAGGGGAAGGTGAGGGGAAAGAGGGAGCGAAAGCGGATCACTTTCTTAGTCACTCAGGCTACAGGGGAAGGTTGCCCTCCCAGATCCTCAGATGCTTGGTCCTACTTACCTTCCTACCCACTGACCTAATAAGGAAAGAGTTGCCGTGATGATGGCAGAGTGTGTCTTAGTGCTGATGGCCTGGTGCATGCACTGAGGACCACTGGGAGGCAGGGACCAGGGAAAGGACCCTCACAAGCTGATGTGGTCAGAGAAGGTTTGGGGGCGTGTGGACTGGGGGTTCAGGAGGGAAAAGGTAAGGCCCAAAAATCACAGAAACTATAGTGAGCAGGGGCTGTCTTCAGACTCTGCCCACCCATGAGGTCATGACACAGCAAGTTCAGTTACTTCCTGGTTAGGGACCAGAGGAGTGTGGACAGATGCACTTAAGCTGAAAATGTCTGTGCTGTGTGCCTCATAAAGATTAAGTATATTTCCGCCCCGTGGCAGAAATCCTAGATCATCAGTCTGACAGGTCAGCTCTAGTGCTCCTCTGATTCTGGGCAGGAGAGAAGAGCAATCTCAATGCAATTGGGCAAGAGCATTGAAGGCCCTAACTTGAGGAAGAGTGGGTCAGGAAACAACTGGACCTGTCATTCTTTCTTGAGCTTCTGAACAGTCAGTGTTTTGCCCTAGAAACTGCATCTGAGCTGGACACAAGAGGCTGACAAACACCAAGCAAGACCATCATGAAGGGGACTTTGACCTCTTCTTATAGGTCATAAACTCTTGGCCTTTTAATACAGTGGCACTTTGTGCACAAGGGCCAGGCACTTAATGGGGATATGGAGGTGACGTCTACTCACTGTTCAGCCACACTCGGACCAAGAGAATCTGTTTCGGTAGGTGTTTCAGGTAAGGAGGAGCCCGACTCCTGTATCTGGCATAATTCCTCATCTGTGATGATGTCAAAAATGGCGTCATCTGGAGGCCTACAATCTGTGTTGGCAGATCAATAGCAAGAAATGAGTGGTTAGATACAGGATGTGAAGGAAATCTTGGGGGAAGTGAGAGAACACAGCTAGACAGGAGTCTTTAAGTTCTTTCTCAACTGACAGCAATGCTGTCCAGATGTGAAAGAAATGGCTACTGGTACATTCCAGGAAGCAAAAGAGGTGCCCATAGATGAGTCAATGTACAACTTCAGAGATTTCTCTTAAACTCCTTAGTCGTGAGCCTATAGAGGTTTCAACTTCTTACGTATTCTGAGGCTCCTTATTTAGAAGGTAAAGCCCCACTGACCCTTATCAGAAATAACACAACAGGAATCGTACTTCTGAACTGTTGACTCCTTACTCCACAAGTCACAGACTATGTATTCATAGCTTTGAGGGCAGGAGTACATCTGATCTGCAATTTTCACCCCAATCTACTGGGTGAGTAGGAAGGGACCTCTCTTTGCAAGGAGTTGCAATGATTATTGTACTTCCAATCAAGGAACTGTGTCTAACCTTGTGGGTCACTCAGTAGGAAGGATATTGTAAGGTTGTTCCTGTGCCAGTCACCCACCCACACTCTCTTGTACATGTCATGGAAAATATGAAGATAGATCTGAGGTAAGTGGGTGTGCGGAATGTAAGGAAGACAGAAAGGAAGAAATGAGGAGACAGGAAAAATCGAAATCAAAACAAGTTACCTCAGCAAAGGAAATGATGCTACCCAGTTGTCATGAACACCCACCAGTGAGGGAAAGATTTTTGAGCTATTTAGCCAGAAGGACAGTTTATAAGAGCTATACATTCTCAACTGCTACTTGGGACCATGTTTTAGAAGAAATGTCTGTCTTCTTGTCTGATATCTGCATAACAAAGGTTGTAGAACAGCTTGAAAAAGGTTTCTTTTCTTCAGGAATTGGTTTCTTTCCACATACAAAACCACACTCCTGAACCTGCCTTCCAAGACTGACAGAGAAAAGGAAGAGAAAAAGGAGGGAAGGGAGGATAAACACTAGTGATTCAAGACAATGTCTGCTAAGAAAAAATAAAAAAAGACCTAAATAAGTGGAGTGCTATACCATGTTCATGGATTAGAAGACTCAGTTATGTTCATATATGAATTCTCACCAAACTGACCTAGAAAGTCAATGCAATTCCAATCAAATTTTGTCTAAGATTTTTTGCAGAAACTGAAAAATTGATTCTAAAATTTATATGGAAAAAAGGGCCTAAAATAGCCAATACTTTATTGATAAGAACAACAGTGGAGAACTGACTCTCCTTGATTTTAAGACTATATTATAAAACTACAGTAATCTTAACAGTGTTGTCGGTGAAAGGGCACACAGATAAACAAATCAAATAAAAGTCCAAATATAGACCCACACTTACAAGAAAAATTGATTTTTGACACAAGAACAAAGGCAATTCAACAGGAAAAGAATAGGCTTTTCAACCAATGGTATTGGAATACTTGTCAATCATATGTAAACATGAATCTTTACTCATAGCTTCTACAAAGATTAATTCAAAATGAGCCACAGACCTAAACAGTCAACCTAAAACTAAACTTCTAGGGGAAGACAGGAGATCATTGTGTTAAGCAAAGACAGATATGATACCAAAAGAAAATAACCAATCCATAAGAGCAAAGAATAGAGTGGACTTTAAGAAAATTATGAACTTTTACTCTTTGAAAGGCATTTCTGACCTACAAAAGAAGATGAAAAGACAAGCCACAGATTAGAAGATATTGTAAAATACGTACAAATAACATATCCAAAATAAATAAGGAACTTTAGATTTCAATATTAAAAATAAACAAGTGGGCAGAGGTTTAAAGGAGATACAATAAAGTTGTGCAAAGTACACTCTATCCATGAGCAGTTTTTTGTATATAATATAAATAATGGAAACTGTCAACCTCCTTGATGATCCAGTCCATAAACAAAGAACTAACAGTTTTCCTGAGGGCTGACTGGCCAAAGGAGGAAGAGATGGTTGAGCAAAAATAAGACTTACTTCTGCTATTTCAGCTCTGCCTCTCTGGTGTCCGACCTCCACAGTCTAGTCCAAAGAGGACAGCCTGGACTGATCTCCTGGGCTGTGCTTAGGAAAAGTGCTTGTGGAAAAGCAGCAAATCCCACTTTCATTTTATGGGCTAAGTGAAAGGAAAACAAGAGTGCATTCTCCTTGGCCACCGAGGGAGAATGTGAGCTACAAGGAAAGAGTGAAAACTGTGGTGGTTTCAAGACATAACTCCTGTCCTTTGGTTCCTCTGGAAGACAGAGTCAGACACTGGGGTCAAGGTTCTGGGAGACAGCATTTTCCAAAGTGTGGGAGGTGTTCCACTAGTGCTCTATGAATTAAGAGGTACTCAGACTACACATTAAATAACACTGAATCATATCAGGGGAAAGTCATTCCCTTTTCAATTCTCTTTTGATCTAAATTACATCAAAAAGAAAGTCTCAAATTAGCACACTTTTCGCACCTTTTGTAATGCCTCAGTATTGTAAAATACTGAACCACATTCCTTTGAGCTAACCAACATGGTGTACTGGTGGGAGGCTGGGGAGGCTCTGAGGGGCAGCAGCAGGGGCCTGACCTTGGGCTCCAGCGTGGGCTGGTGACAGCGTAGGGCTGGGTTCTCCCTGGCCGGTGCCCGCGCTGGCGCTGTCAGGGGAGCCAGAGTCGCCACCGGACTTCCGGAAGCAGGCCCGGCAGCAGCGCTCCTTCTTGCCACCGGGCTTGGTGGTGATGTAGTTGTTGCAGCAGTAGTAGCAGAAGGAGCGGCCACAGATCCTGGGGTGACACAAGCACAGCCATGAGGACAACACGACGTGGGCCGGAGTGACCTGCTCAGCACCAGGACTGGCCTCCTCCGCCTGCCTCTATCCCCACTTCAGAGTGTGGCCTTGCGGTCTATTTCACGAGATTCCAATAAGGCCATTTTGGTAAGCTTTGTGGGAGAATGCTTTGTTTCCTAAGATCCCCAGAGCAGGGGGTAAAGTGTGTGGCTGAATACTCCGCCCCTGGAACAGCAACCCATGCTTCTGCAGTGGGGCTCTACGAGAACAGAGACCTTCCCAGGCCTGAGCTGATGACTCTCAATCTGCCTCCACCCCACCTTTCACTTATACCAATTCTTCTTTGGATCCAAAGAGGACTTTTGTTCTCCTTGAGTGAAGCCTTAGCCCCTGCTCTAAAGTCCCAGCAATGCTGTTCCCCTCAGTGCTGCAGGATGGAGAGTCAAGGTCTCTGGGTGGCTGCATCTGCCTGGGTCCCCTGCCCATACTTATGTACTAAATACTTTTCTCTTTTAAGGGTCCCCGAATGTCTTCCCAGGATCTTGCCTAATATATTCTCCTTACCTGACTTTCTTTTCTTTAAAAGCAAGGGGTGTGTGTGGGGGGGGGGGTGAGAGGATTCACCAGAGACAGAGTGGGGAGCAGAACAGGTGGACTGACTGAAATACACTGCGGAGGGGAGCAGCGGGCGAGACAGGAGGAGTCTGCTGCGCCGTGTGGGTCAGCTCCCTGGCCGGGGATCAAACTTGTGCTGCAGTGGACAGCCTCCTGGTGCTGAGCTTAACCCCTTGCACCACCAGGGATGCCCTGCCTCACTTTCTTGAAATCAAAAAGCAGTATGTTCTTCCCAGACAGTCAACCCCACTGCCAATCATGGAGTCCTCACGTGGAGCCGCTGGCTCTGCCTCTGGCCCACAAGGTGTGGGGCTGCCCCGGAGCCACCCGCTGACCTGCAGTGGTGCCGCCGCACCATCCAGCTGAATTCCCGCTTGCAGTCCAGGCAATGGTTCACCTCCATGTCCCCAAGCCCCCTCTCTTCAGCACTGAGCTTCTGTTGGAATTCCAGGGCATCTGACTTTTGCCAAAGAGCATCCTTGTCCCTGGGGCAAAGCCATGTTAGGAAAAGAGAAAAAAGAATTCATGAAAACAACAGAACCATCCCTGTTTCATTATAAATGACTTCAAATTTCCCAAGAAATGTTAGGGAAATCTGTGTGTACCTTGGAGATGTCTCTCTCCCTAGGGTGGGGCCTTCTGTGACCCCATATTACCCCTGGACTCAATAGGACTCTCCCAATATTCAAATCCTTAACTGAGGCAGAGAGCAGGCCCATGATGAGTAAGACTGGCGACTGCAAAGAGCTGCCAGCAGCAAGGGTCACGCACGGCCTAAGGGTACCCTGCTGACACAAGCCACAGCACCTGTGGCTGTGCACCTGAGAACCATGAAGGTTTGGTCCATACAACTCTGAAACGTGCTTGGGGCCTCTAGGCTTCTATTTCTAGTTGTGTCAAGTAACAACTAATCAATGGAGAAGACCCCAGCTGTAAAGCAGAGGCGGCGTTACGCTTCCTCACTCGGGGTGGTACAGCCATTCCGGGCAGCAAGCCTGCAAGAAGCGGGGGGCTTCAGAAAGAGCTGGCACGTGTGCGCATGCCCGGAGCCAGGGGGAGACGTGCACAGGGGTCTCCGCACTGCTGCAACCCTGCCGGGCTTGTGGTTCTTCACATGGATAGATTTGTTCTTTCCTCCAACCAGCATCCTGAGGGTTACTGTGGCCCCATGTGGCAGCATCTCAACCTCGATGACGAACACCAGAGCCATTCATGGCCTGAAAGACGTGGCCTCCATGACCAGCCAAACATGGCTCTTTCTCTTTAAGTATAAAAGCCAGGGCATGGAATTGACTGATTTTTTTCAAGGATGCCTGAAATGATGAGGAAGCAGGAAGACTTATTCTCTGACCAACACTGTTGTCCCGGCCAGTCCACAGCTTTTCCTTCCTATCCCCCAAGTCAGGCACAGACACCCGATAATGCGGGCATGCTGTTAGGACCTGGGGTTTCTTGGAAACTGCCTGCCTTCTGAGGTCACACATGTCCTGAGTTCCAAGTTTGTAAATTGATAAGTTTTTAAGCTCCCAAATTAGTTATAATTTAGTATCTTCACTTTGCAACCTCAATTAGTAGATCTAGGCATTGCTTATTCATACCGCTAGCATCACAAAGAGAAAAGTCATCATTCTGTGGACCATGAAAAGAGACCCAAAACCACACACCATTTTCTGAAGGCTTCTTGCCAAAATTTTGAACATGAGTCTGAATAAGCCTCTACTAGGGTAGTAGTTCTCAATTCTGGTTCAATGATGCCTAGACCCACTCCCAGAAATTCCAACTCAGTTGTTCTGGACATGGGTATTTTTTTTTTTCCTCCAGAAATAAGTTTTAATGTAATTTCTCAAACATAGTATAAAATCTAAAGGAAAATTCTGGTCATTTTTAAAGTTCCTAGATTTTCATCACATTGATTCACTTAGAATTTTTTTTTTTTAAGCATGCCATTTAGCACCATTCTCCTTTACTAATTAGCACAAAATGACAATATTTTTTTTTTTTTTCAGCGTGTGGGTCAGGAGAGGTCTGCTGTGCCATGTGGGTCACCTCCCAGGCCAGGGATTGAAATCCTGCTGAGGTAGCTTTAGCTTCTTAGTACTGTGCTTTAACCTGCTGCTCCACCAGGGAGGGCGACATGGGTATTTTTTTTAACAGCTCCTCTAGTGATTCTACTCTGCAGCCAGGCCTGACGAGCACCATACCTATTCATTACAGGAACTACTGCAGTTGTGCCTATCAAAGTATGTGAAATAAAAAGATTAGAAGAACCTCTTCAATAACATTCCAGGGATGCACTCAAAATTCAGGTTATAACTCTAACAGATGAATAACCTGGCTTGTAAGGTCAAAAAGGAAAAAAAAAAAAGAGAGAGAGAGAGAGAGAAATTAAATAGGATGGTTGGGACTGATGGAAAGAGATTAAATAAATAAATAATCACTATGCAATGTATGGATCTAATTTAATTATGATTAGGAAAAAAAGTATAAGGTAACTGGAAAAAACTGAAACTGACTAGATATTTGATAACAGGAATTAAAAAGTTAATTCAAATATTATATGCAATGAGATTATGGCTGTGAAACATGCAGAACCCTTGACTTGAGGAGGTATATACTGAAATACTTGAGGATGAAATGAGATAATGGCAGGAAACCTGCTTCAAAGTAATCTGGGAAGGTAGAGGAGATGGAGGGAGAGAGAGACTTTGGATGAAACAAGATGGCTGAGAGCTTAGGAATACTAAAGCTAGGAAAGATATGCAGGGGTGCATCATGCTATTCTGTTTTTTGTCTTAAGAAAATGTTAAAGGAAACTTAAAAAAATATATTTGTTTATTTATGTATATAAGAACTGGGGTATATGCCAAAGGTGTGGGCGGGAGTGTGAGAGGATTCACCAGAGACAGAGTGGGGAGCAGAACAGACAGATGGACTGAAATACAGTGCTGAGGGGAGCAGCGGGAGGGACAGGAGAGGTCTGCTGTGCCATGTGGGTCACCTCCCTGGCTGGGGCTAGAACCTGTGCTGCAGTGGCTGTGGATAGCTTCTAGTGGTGCGTTTTAACCTGTTGCACCACCAGGGAGGGCCAAAGAAAACTTTTTGAAAGACCTGCCAACATTTCAGGACAATTTCACATAAAAATCTAGATTCCACCTTCTCTCTCTCTCTCTCTCTTTTTTTTAAGATTTATTTATTTATGCATACAGAACTGGGATATAGGCCAGAGGTGCAGGGGCGGTGAGAGGATTCACCAGAGACAGAGTGGGGAGCCGAACAGGCAGATCAACAAAGTACCCTGCTGAGGGGGCAAGGTGGTGAGGCAGGAGAGGTCTGCTGCGCCATGTGGGTCAGCTCTGGGGTGGGGGTCGAACTGGCACTCAAGTGGCTGTCGCTCACTGTGCTATGCTTTAACCTGCTGCACCATCAGAGAGGACCAGATTTCCTTCTTCTCTTAAGAAGCAAGGTGATCCCCGGGGCCCTCCCTGGTGGTGCAGCAGATTAAAGCTCAGCACTAAGAAGCAAGGTGACCTGGCAACTCCGGGCTCGACATGGCAGTAACTGGCAGGGACAGAGTGTGCCGTGTCGCTGGTTTCTCAGCGTGCCCTTCTGGCCCACTCACGCATTTACGTTAGCTGTCTGCAGGCAGCGGTGTTTGGGACTCCTGGAAATGGGGAAAGTGGAATGGAGGAGAAAAAGGCTCTATAAAGAGGGGCAAAAAAAAGGGAAACTCCTCAGATGTCAAGCATCATTTACTGTCACTCTTGTGGCTAAGCCCAGAGATTTTGAAAATAATTACAAATAATTACAAAGCAGTGTGGAACCACAAAGCCTGCTGAGCAGCGCTGAGAACGGTGAACCCCACTCTTCAAAGGCCCTGAAAAACTGCCATGGTGGACAAGGAGGCCATTTCCCTTGGTGAGCCCTTTTGAGAACAATTGCATTTCTTCAAAGAAAAGCTGTTTGGGGGAAGGCCCCAGACACCTGCTTGTCATGACACGCACCTGAGCAGCTCTATAAGCCGTTCCTCCAGGTACTTCTTGGTTCTGTTGAGGTCATCCAGGTCAGCGAGCATCTTCTGGTCATTCTTTTCCCGGTTCGTTACCTCCTGGCAGAGTCTCTCATAATACTCTTGGAGTTTTGCTGTGGCTTTCTCAAGTTCCTTCTGGGTCCTAATGGAGGCATAGTTAAGTGGTCTTCCTGAATACCCACTATTTCCAGTTGCCCCAGTGCCGCAGGACTAAATCAGGCCTCTAGTGTGGGTCCCCTAGTTTTGGAGAAATCCCCTCACAGCTCTAGAAACAGCACCTTCCCTCTGCTGCCGAATACAAGGGTTGTTCCAGGAGAGTAGGGGGCCCTTAGGTGGCCAGAAAGTCATCAGGGAGAGGGAAATTGCACCATTTGGCTCTTAGGCAGGGATGGAGGTGGCGAGAGGAGCCTGAGGGGTCAGGCTCATGGCTGGTGACGGGGGATTCCCAAGAGATAAAAAGTGCCAGGCGAGGACAGAGACGTTACTTCCTGGAGGTGACCACGCCATCTTTCATGTGTCTTTGCCATGCCACACCTGGAGCATGGCTCTGGGCACACAGCAGGCACTCAATCTGCACTGCAAATCGCTACCTGACAACCCCAAGGCCTAAAGAATTCTGTTCCAGATGCTCCAGGGGGTGAACCACTCCGTCTTCCTATCCCTGCCCACCCGCTTTCAGCTCAATGCCCCAAGGATGTGCTCTAGACCCCGGGGCCCACTATGATATTCTGAGAACCTCTGTTAAACAAGAGGCTCTGCAGAGATGAATTACGTGCCATCGAATCCAGCCCTTCCGGGTCCAACATGACAGTTACCAAGAGGTTATCTATAAGACACCGTCGATTCAAATGATTTCAGGGTTAGACGAGGCACGTGCAGACACACACACACTCACATAAATAAAATCCAGTCCCTAGCAGATGGAGTCTGCAATGTTGAGCAGCTAAAAGAGCTGCTCAGAGATCTTACTAACCACCACCGTTACGGTGTTTTTAAAAATACCACCAGTTAGGCGGATCTCTGTTTAAATTATCATGAGGATACGACCTGGCTAAAGGCAGCTGGAGGCCTGTAGTACTCTGGAAGATTCAGAAGAGAAGAAATATATACCCAGGTTACTGAACATCCCAGATGCTCTGGATTTTCCACAGAGCCTGTGCCCGGGCCTAGACGGTGGGTGGTAGGAGACGGAGGTGGGCAGTCACCCTAGAGCTTCGGACTGTCTGGCATGCCTCCCCAGCTGAGGGCACACGTGCCTCCCTTCTTCCGCTAAACTGTCTGAATCAGGCACCGGCAGGACTAGCTGGCCCCATCAGCAGGTGTCTGGCTCATGCCCACAACTCCAAGTGGCCCCCGACAAGGAGGTGCAAGGCGGCTGGGAGCTGGCCACCAGATTAGCATGGAGAAGGGTCATGGAGAAGGGTGGCAGCAGGATGCAGCCTCCAGGCAGCACCAATCCACAGAAAGAGAAGCCGATGGTGGTCCCTGGCGCGCTCTCTCACTCGCTCGCTGAGCTTGGGAGAAGCCCACACCTAATCCCGCGGCCTCACTTCTCAGAGGTAACCTGGAGGTGTTCAAGTCAAACCTCCACGGTGGGCAAAATACGCACACGTTCGTCAGTCCACTAAAACCAAACCAAGCCCAAGCTACCTTTTCTTAGCTATTTGTTAAGAAAACAGACTCGGAGCCAAATGGCCTGGGTCTGCTATGTCTGACTTTGGGAAAGTGACTTTTTTCCGAACCCCATCTTCCTCAAGTTTAAAATGGGGGTGAATAATAATGCCATCCTCACAGGACTGTCGGGAGGGTTAAATAAGCAAAGAGATGCAAAGTATTCAAAATGGTGCCAGCCCCATTTGAGGCATTATTAAAATGCCTGCTGTTATTGTTATGACACCCCAATTTTCGTCTCATGTAGGTTTTTCTCAAGCATGAAGTTACTGAACTGAAACATGCCCTGCCAGAGATAAGAAAATGGAATTAGGAAAAAAGGTCTGCAGCTCTGGATAGGGCCCACTGCCAGCTCCTCCGGGCCTGCCTCTGGCCCGAGCACCGAGTCTGTGGTTTTTTGAAAGAGGACGCCTGCCGCTTAACGCAAGCAGCTACTTTCTAAGTGACTGCACCAAACAGGCTCTTTCTGAAAACGGTACTGGTAGTTCTGTGGGCAACGGGGTGACCACCTGTCCAGGTCTGTGCGCAGGGCAGCCCCTTCCTCATCCTTCCTCAGCATGGTGGCCTGGCACTCCGCGAGGTGGTTGCTAGTGCAGCTCAGCTTCTCTCCCATATCCGCCTGGGCAGCCTGAACAGGACACCAAGAAGACAGTCACTTGGCGAAGCTGTGCAAGATGCCATAAAGGGAAGATGTGGCCCGTCCCTCGGGGCTTTCATTTTCTTGTCAACCTTCAAGGGGCCCGGAAAGTCTGCTCTGTACCTGTGAAGTGGACCTCACTCCCATTTGTAAGTGTGCCCCTTAAGCATTAACGTCAACTGAGGGTGATGGGGGATGTGGGGAGCAACGGGTCAGAATCTCTGCGGTGGAGGCGGAGGTGGGTGGCAGGGTTCACTTAAAAGGCAATGTCCTGAAAACTTGGGTTTCACTATAGCCCCTGCACCCACTCAGTTCTGAATCATGGACTAGAGAACACCTGCAGAGATGCTAAGGAGGAAAATATTTCCTTTCCACAAGACGCAGGGGGCTGGGTGAAAAAACACATTTGGCCGCTCCAAGCAGGTGTCTGGGAGGGGAAGGGCTGTGCTACAACGGGTGTCCACAAGGTGACCTGAAGACGGCTTGCAGGGAGTACGCACGAGCACAACCTACCTTCAGCTTCCCCACAGTCTCCTCAGCGGCCCTAAGGTGAAGGCCTTGTTCCTCAAGCTGGTCCCTGAGGCTCCTGCACTCTTCACTGGAAGTCTGGCAAGGATGAAAAAGGGGTTGTAAGAGTGGGGTCCTGGATCTGAGATTCCCTCAGCTTTATAACCGCAAGTGGGTAACACAAGCCTGTCTCCCCTCCTCCCAACTCAATAAGCTTTGGGCTTCACTGGTCATAAAATCCTTCCAAGTTTACTTACAGACTTGGCTTAGGGCCCTCCCTGGTGGTGCAGCAGGTTAGGGCAGAGCACTGCAAGCTGGCTGAAGCCGCTTCAGTGCTAGTTCGATCCCACATGAGCTGACCCACATGGCGCGGCAGACCTCTCCTAACCCGCCGGCTGCCCCTCAGCAGTGTACTTGGTCGATCTGCCTGTTCTGCTCTCCACTCTGTGTCTGGTGAATTCTCTCACTGCCCCTGCACCACTGGCCTGTACCCCAGTTCTGTATGGTAAAAAAAAGGCTTGGCTTGATACCCAAATTTACTATTTAAATTTCTGCAGGAAAAAGGGGTCCAATGAGCCAAACAGGTAGATGATGGGGTGGGGGGCACATCTGTGAAGTGCTGCAGCTGCCTAAGAGGGAAGGGCCCAGAGCAGTCTGATCCCGCAGACAAGTGGCAGCTCCATAAACCAGCTCGCTAGGGACACGCCCGTGGGCTCCGCACACCCGCTTCACTTTTTGCTGTGTGCGCTATCACAGGTCCACAGGTCCACGGTGACTGCTCTACTCAGCTCGTCTATCCCAAGGCCTGCACCTGCTACCAGGCTAGCACCTGAAGGGACAGAGAGCCAGGGACAGCACTTGAGGCAGTTGGGAACTGCTGGCACCTGCAGTGATGTGTGGAGACCAGGCAGGGCAGCCAGACTCACTCGCGCGGAGGAGCAGGTGAGTGTGGGAATGTGAGGAAAACACCAGCATGAGCCTCCTTTAAAGTGGGCGGCTGCCACCCAGCTCCTGATAGCTAACGCCTTAGAGAAATGAGAGTACAGTCTTTAAGCTTTGAGACTGGTAATTAAAAAATAAATTCTGGGTGGGCACACCAACTTGTCTACAGAGATCCTGAATCTACGCTGTGCTCCTGACTTGTCCCCGCAGGGAAAAGGAGAGGATGGACTGCAAGAGGAAGGGACCAGCCCCCAGTCACACAAGGGCCTTCACGTGCCACATGGCGGAAGGTGCATCCCACAACCTCATGGGCCCACCAGCCCTCACGAGGCCAGTCGGTCAAGGCCAGGATTACCTTAAGTCTGCTCTGGTAGTTCATGATCTCAGTGCTCAGTTGGAACTTGAGGGTGTCAAGGTCCTGGTGTGCAGACTCCTGGAGGCTCTGGACCCGCTGCTCGGCCTGGGCTAGCTGGGCCTGCAGGCCAGGCAGTGAGCTGGCTACTTCCTCGGCCACCTTCAGCTTCTCCTGCAAGCTCTCCTTCTCTCGCTGCAGCCCTGCCACTTGGCCTTCTAGGACCTCCCGCTCCCTTGAGGATGCCTCTTTGGTCGCCTGGAGCTCCTGGGTCGTACAGGCCAATGTCCCCTCCAGCTGCTCTTTCTCCGCGGTCAGTGCACACACCTGGATGCCGAGCTCGGCGGTGTCTGTGTTGGCCCGGTGGAGCTGCTCCCGCAGCTCCGCGTGTTCCACCTGGGCTTCCTGGGAGCTGCATTTCGCCTGGGACAGCGCCTCACGCAGGGCCTGCAGCTCATCCTCCCGCTGCTGGGCCTCATCAGCCCTCTCCTCCCGGAGCGCTCCTTCCCGTGCCGAGCACTGCAGCAGCTCCTGGACATGGGCCCTGTTGAGGGCTTCATTCTGCTCCTTCAGTTGCTGCACGAGGACCTTGTGGTCACTCAGAGCTGCCTCAGTCACACTCAGCTGGCTCTGCACCTTCTCCTGGCTGCCCAGCGCTGCCTGGAGTCTGGTCTGGAGGTCCAGCACCTTAGCCTGCAGTCGCTGAGCCTCCCCCTGGTGGACCTCCACCTGCGCCTGAGACAGGGCCAGCTGGGTGGCCAGCTCGTGGGAGGCGCCGTCTTGGGGTGGGTCGAGTCCCTTTTGGCCCTTTTCTGCTGTGAGGGTCTCAATCAGCTGGGTCTGCTGGTGACACCGGCTCTCAAGTGCCCTGAGTTCCCCGCCCCGGGCCTCTGCTAGCTGCCGACACTGGTCCACCTGCTCCCGCAGCTGCTGGCACTCCGCCTCCTTGCTCTGCAGAGCAGCCTCCTTCTCTGCCACATGGGCCTTCATGGTCTCCTTGGCCTTCTTCACAGCCAGGAGGCTTGCCTCCATCTGCTCACCCATGTGCCGGATACTGGCCTGCTCCGACTCCAGGGAGGACAGGGAGCCCCGAATCGCTGCCTCCCGCTGCTGCAGCGCCTGGTACTCGGCCTGGAGAGCCTGCAGCTTGTCCTCCAGGAGCTGGTTGCGCCCAGTCACTTTCTGCAGCTCCTCCTCCAGCTCCCTGTTGGCTTGCTGGAGCTTCTCTTGGTCACCCCCTTGCATCTTAGTGCCGTCCATCTGTCCCTCCTGCAGGGCTCTCTGCTCCTCCTCTGGCTTCTGGCTGGCATGCTGTAGAGTGGAGTTAAGGGGGTCCAGTGCCTCACTCTTCCCACCTGCTGCGGGCAGATCTGGGCCTGGTTGCCCGGCAAGCCGCTCCAGAGTTCCTACCTTCTGGCTGAGGTGGTCTTTGTCCTGGATGAGCTGCTTCCTCTGCTCCTCCAGGTCACTCACATGCTGGCTCACCTGTGCCAGCTGGGCCTCCAGGAGTTGCAGCTGCCGTGTCAGAGCCCTGGCCTCTTGCTCCAGCAGCTCCTTTTCTTCCTGCTGCTGCTGCTCCTGCCGCCTCACCTCTGCCAGCTCTTCCTGCAGTGAGCGCGAGTGCGCCAGTGACTCCTGCAGCTGCTGTTGGAGCTGCGCGGCCTCCTGCCCCTTCCCGGCCAGCTCCTCCCGGAGAGGGGCCATCTCCTTTACCAGGCACTCCAGGCTCGCCCGGGCCTCCTCCTTCAGCTGCAGCTCCTTGGTCAGCTGCTCCAGCTGGGCACTCTGCTGCAGACGGCCCTCCCCTGCCGTGGTGCTCAGTCCTTCTAGGGCTTGAAGCTTGTTCCCTAGTTCCTGAACCTCCAGGGCTGAGTCACTGGGAACGAGGTCTTGCTGCTTTGTGTCCAGTGCTGCAGCTGACTTCTGCTCAGCCGAGCCCAGCTGCTCTGAGACGCTAGCTAACTGCTGAGTCTTCCTGCCCAGTGAATCCCATGTGACCTCAAACTCCCGAGCCAGCGGCTGCAGCAGAGACTCCAGCCGCTGCAGAGATGATTGGTAATCTTCCTCCTTCTCTGCTGCTCCCAGCTCCGGGGTCTGCAGACACTTCTGCAGCTCCTTCACCGTGTTCTGTGCAACCCCCCACTGTTTCTGGAGCTCAGTCATCATGGAAGCGAGGCGCGCATTGTCCTCGGAGGCAGCACGGACCCGCTCCTTCTCCACGCACAGCTGCTCGCCCTGCAACCTGACAGTTGCCCTCAGCTCCTGGTTCTCTCTGTCCAGCTGCTGCATCTGCTCCTGCAGATGCTTCTCCCGCACCTCCAACTGGTCCAGCTCCACACGCATCTCATCAAAGCCCTCCAGTGCCTCATTATTTAATGGGCTGTTCAGGTCAAAGCTAGAGGCCAACTCCTGAGTCTGGGGAGGGAAAACAAGTAGTTTGGCTGCCAGGAAAAACTAGCGTGTAATGGTCGCAGAAGTAAAAATCCAACAATCATTATTACCGAAGGTTAATCAATTGGGCTACTCAAAAGGGGCCTCACCTTTGCTCAAAGCATCAGCCAGGGCAGCGCGGCGGCACCCGTGAGCACATGCCGCATGAGTGAGCTCCGAGGCTCAGAGCTCGCGTGTCCCACCCAGGCTCCTGTAACTCTGGTGACAGCCGGCTGTTGGCACTAAGTTATATTTAAACTACTGTTCACCCTTCACGCCATACCTACTAATTCTGTGGTCATGAAACCACAAAACAGGGTTAAGAGGTCTATTTGTCTATTTTCTATTCTTAATGCGCCTTGAATCGGTCAGTTTTTGTTTTGCTGTTTAAGTTTAGTGTTCTTTCCCACAACGAATACACCTATGACATACTCACATTTCTTATAAAACTAGCCTTCCCCAGTAAATTTACTGAGCACCTGCCCGAATCAAGCCCGGATGCCATGGACTTCCAACCTGGCGTGATTTTAGTGTCCTCATTTTGTGAAAGAGTGAGCTGATGCCTTCAAGAGTGCACGTCACCTCCCCGGGCTCTCACAGCTGGGCGGTGACAGTCAGGATTTTACCACCATGCTAAATTGGTTCTTTTAAAATGCTTAAAAAGCTTTTAAAAAAATTTAGTGTTAGAAGGCCCCAATTCTATCTGCTGTAAGGATATGGACTTTAGGAACACCTGGTATGGCTGAGGGGCACCTGTGGTCCTGGAAGAGGTGCCCAAGAACACTGCCCTGAGTCGCTGGGGAAGGCACAGCCTGAGTGACACTGTGGGCAGGAAGCCCCGGCCGCCCTGCCATTACCTGCAGGTAGCTGCTCACCAGACTGCTCACGCTGGAGCTCCGGCTGGGGGGCTTCCACAGGTACGCAGAGGGGCCCGCAGCCAGCGTCCTCCTGTGGAGCCACAGAACAGACATGCCTATATCACAGCAGGAAATACGCCAGCATAGCCGGTCAGGGAGACCTTGGTGGGAGGGGGCAAAGATCTGCCAGCAAGAAGGCCAGACCTAACAGTTGCTATCGAAGAGCACATTTACATTGGTCTGTGGCAGATGGACACTAATGCTAAAGCTTAAACACCACGACTTTCCTCCTGCTGCCAAAAAATAGAACTGTTGTGGACAGAGTATTTCCCACACTTTGGTTTACGCTTCCTGGAGTGTTTGCGGTGCCCGTCTGCTAAGTGAGGCTCATGTAGCTGTCGGTCTGGTCAGTAAGGTGTCACTGGGCTTAGGCGCTCCCTGTCACCACCTGATGTGGCCCATGTGGAAGACGGCTGGAGACCTGCTCCTCACTCGTGAGACTGGCAGCACAGGCGGGGGCAGGTCGCCTCTGCAGACAGCCCGCTCGGCAGCATGGGTCTACAGCACCCGCGCTTCTCTGAGCGTTCTCCTTTAGAAGGAATGTTGCAAAGTAAGCATATTTTTACTGAACCAGAATCTTTCCTTAAATCAGAATGGCATCATTTGGAAAGTTGTTCATCTTTGCCAGCAAGCAAATTCCACTTCTTCGTATCTACTCTAAAGATTGTCTCGTGTGTGCAACAAGAGATGTGGCAAAATCCCAGACAGCACTGGTAGAGCAACAGGAACCACGTAAGGGAACTAGGTACACTGTGACTGAATCCCACAACAGAGCAGTCTACCCTCTGGATTGGTAATCTCTTTTTTGTAATGCTAGTAAAATTTTGGACTTCCATTCTTAGGTCTCTGTTACGATAACTAAGCCTTGAGACTGTGGCATGAAAACAGCTGAGAACAGCTTGTGAAAGAGCGGATGAGGCCAGTCACATACTGCCTTGAGGGTGTGGTTTGCCAGCCCTACTCTACAGCTATACAAGTTCATGTGCAAACACAGATAAAAATCTCAAAAATAATGTGGGATGGTAAAAGTATGCAGCAAAAAGATAACTATCCCATAATGCAATGTACACAAATTTAAAATATATATACCAAATAAAAAAACATTCAGATGCACACATAGTAAAACAAAAATATTTGGGAATAATATATCACCTACAGGGCTGCAATTACTTCTAAGGGAGGAAAGGGGGAAGGACAGCGGTCAGGTGAGGTTTTACTTGTATTTATATTTTATTTCTTAAAAAAAAAAGTTAGACATAACAAAACACCCACCACAATTAGTTTAGTTTCAAATATAAGACAAGTTTCAAAATAAGTAATCACATCGCTTCTCAGTCTTTTGGCTAAGATCTAGTATCAAAATAAGTAATTGCGCTGGCAGAATATAAGCACTGAGTTAATACTAATATCAATTAATAAATAAACAAGGAATAAAGAAGAGTTCGTCTATCTAACACAATGACAATTACTAGCAAAGAAGGAATAATGAATTTAGAAAATTGCTCTGGCCACAAAGACATTAGTAACTGATTCAGGCAAGAAAAAGGATAATAACTTAATTTCAAGTATCTTCCTATAGGATACATCTTAACTTCGAAGCAAGGCATGGAAGTTTCTTTTCAAGAGACCTGGCAGAAATTGCCTTAGCCACACGATCTCAGTTAGCCTCGCGTAAGGTGGCACAGACCAACGCTCGGTACCCAGGTGGATTGAGCTGAGGCCGGCAACACACGTACACCTGCCTGGCAGCAACGCAGAAGCTGAAGCTGATAAGTAGGAGACACTAGGGAAGCTCGAATTAAGAAACAACTTCCAAAACGACTAGCCTGTACTGAGAAACTAGCCTGTACTGAGCTCTAAATTAAGAGGTCCAAACACAACGTTAAATCCAACGAACAGGTTCTGGGCTGTATCCTAGATTCTAAAAGGTCTTTTTTGGCTAGCTCTCAAAATTTGCACAGTCTGTAGAGGAGACTGCAATAGCGACTGTATCAATACTCATTTACTAATTGTACTGAGGCTATGTAAGAGGACATCCTTAATTTTAAGAAATACATAATGAAGTACTTAGGAGTGTTTAACTCTATATAATTAATTCTCAAATGGCTCAGAAAATGTACCAGTGCATACACAGAGAAAGAATGACAGAAGAGTTGCAGTGAAATATTGATGACTAGAGAGTTGGCATGAAGGGTGGATGAGAACTCTATTTTTTGCAACATTTTTGTAATTCTGAAATGATTTCAAAATAAAAAGTTTTTAAAAGGACATCTGAAGTATGGCAAACTTGGCTATTAAATACTGGTGGCTGGTCTATGGTTTTCATTATATTCAGTACTTTGCTCTATATTAGAAAATATTTTTGAATAAAAAAATGAAAACTGAAATTGAGACCACTTCCTCAAAGAAAGCGAGACAAAAACAGAGATCACCAGACTTGCTGAAGTTGGGTCTGGTGCGCTGGCCCTGCTGTATGCCTCTGCGCAAACCCCTCTGCTCTGTGGGCATGCCTGCCCAGCCGCTCCCTCATGGGTGGGCTGAGGATCCAGCTACAGGGCATACAAATGCCCAGTGGTGCAAGAAATGAAAATACTGCAACCTTTCCAGCAGCCCTTATGTGGATGTGCTCTAGCTTTCGTCCTCTTATGCCAGGGAGGCCTCTATGATCACTCTGCAAAGAACACAAATAGGGAAAAGCCCACCTGCTCCTCCCCCCTGCCCACACCAAGACCTTGAACACATTTAAAACACCCTTCTTGTATATGCCCCTCTAAGGCCTTGAATCACCTGGCCAGCTGGGATAGTTGCACTTCCAGGCTGTCAGAGATGATCATTAGTCACGATTCAACAAAGGCTCTGAAATTAGCAGAACCAGAGTCACAATGTTTTACTCAATTACTGAGCAAGCAAAACTGCCTTGAGTGGAAACCTCAATCATGTCTTTCCCATAGCTTTTAAACCAAGTCATTCTCAAAGTACCTGGCGAAGGTTGGCCAGGCAGCATCCAAGTCGTAGCCCCTCGACGCCAGGTCAAACTGGACATCAGTGAGCTCATAGAGCTGGCCCACAATGTCAGAGCTGAGTTTGGGCTTCAGAAAAGGGCTTCTTGCATAGTACCAGTCACTGCACGGAAAACATAAAAAGGTATTAATAACAAGGGTCAGTAAGATAAAGAAGGAGTGAATTCAGCCGGTCCTCCCAGAATGGCTCCGCCTCATGCTAACTCAGGTTACTAAATTAATTAAAGACATACACCAATCTGATTTTCACTGCTGAAGTCATAGCTCTCACAGAAATGTGCTCTCCTACCTAGGAAATGGCTGAACTGAACTAGATACTTATTCACATTATTTATATGGTATCTAATTCCCAGCAGGGAAGTGAGACCTTAAACGTCCATTACTTGCCAAGAACGGCAGGTGGAGGGACAGGAACACTTCCATTTTGAAAGAGGACTGACTGTTCTGCTCCTTTCAGAGTACTCAATATAGGACACTGAACTTGCTACTAATTTCTGTGCAGACACCAATTAAAAGAACAAAAGACTTACACTTCAAGGCAGTGGCTGTTTCATTTCATGTGTAAGATTTCAAAGAGAAAGTACTGATGAGCTTAAAGAGCAATTTGGCTGATAGCTGTGAATTATGATAACACTGGAAGTCAGGTTGTTACTGTTATGATGGTTTCCACCCAACACTTAACAAAATAACCTTCAAATAAAATGTACAAAGGTTCTCAAATCTATAAATTCACAAATGTTATGTTCATGAGAAATACATCTTTATGCAAATCAATCTTAAATGTGACAAAATATTTTTCCCCAACAGTTGCTTTTTTTAAACAGATAAGTGATTCATTTGCTCAACTGAAAAAACATTCCCTGGGGAGAGGGGAGGCAGAGCTGGGAAAGGGGTGCAGGGCAACACAGAGCAGCTCAGCTGACAGCTACCAGAGCCACAGCTCCTTATCTGACATCTGCCCCCCTGCCCTGCCCTGCTCCAGCACTCACAGGGGAAGGCTGATCACAGGGACAACCTGAGCACCAGAGGAGCTGCCAATCCAGTGGCTATTCAGTCTCCATGGAGCCCAGACACACCCCCGTGGATGCTGACTGTGGGGGCGGATCTCTGGTGAAGCCCCAGGCTCAGTTACTTGAAAACCCCCACATGTGATTCTGCTGAGGCCAAGTTTGCAACTCTCTGGTCCAGAGAGCCAGGGGTTGTGTCCATTAATGCCAGAACCAAAGACATGCCATGCACCAGGGAAAACTACAGAGCATTACCACTTCAGAGACCTGCATCCAAGTTCCTAGTCTATGATTTAGTACTGATGGGCCTAACGAAGGATGTTTTAGCCTCTGAGAGCCTCACTTCCCTCACTTACAAAAACTCAGAGCTACCAGACCCACAAGCCTATCAAAGGTTGTGGTAGGAAGAGGCAGAAGAGGATGACAGATGTGGGAGGAGTTTTCTTATGTCAGGTGTCACGCAAACAGGCACTGCTGCTGCTGCAGCTGTTTTATGAGGGGACGCGAATTCACTCTGGAATGGTATGGGGGTAAGCCCAGAACTGTCATGTCCTTACCTGGTCACTTTGGCATTCATGAAGCACTGCTGTAAAGTGTCTGCCAACCTCTGGTGTACCAAGGAGTAGCGAATAAATGCTCTTCCTTTTCCCAGAGACGTCCGGAGCTGGAAACAATAGATCACATGGACAGTAGATCACATGAAGAGCTGTCATCTCAACTCCAACTATAGACTGGCCTAACGGATGGCTTCCATATAGAAGGAAGTGTCGCCTAATTCTGCCTTACACAGTGGCTTTACTCATGTTCCTTAAAGGACAGAATGATACTTTCACCCCAGAGAAGGAGGCCTTCGTGTAGGCCTTGATGGGAGAATAATCTATCAACTCCCGCAAACATGTCAAGGAAGACATTTTCATGAGATGCTCTCAAACATCTCTGGGTTCTACCCTTATGTCACTCTTCCTCCTTATATCCACCAGAATCTCCGGGTTGGAGTCAGATAAGGAACTATCTGACTTCCCTATTTTAGAATAATTGAAGGTAAACAAAGGCCTCCTCACAGACTAGAGAAGTATGCTTGAGGAGAAGGAGATGGTCTCGGTTTGAGTGACATCTTGGCTCATTTTTAAGGTGTTGGGAAAACAGGTAGAGGGGCAGAGGCCTGCAGGGTTTGGCTGGAACCCTAGCGCAAGGGAGGAGAAAGAGGAGGGCGAGGCAGGTGTGTGTCAGGGGCACTTTAAAGAAGTTTGGATGGATGTGTGACACTGTCCTTTGAGTCCTTACAAAACCATCGATAAATGGTTGCCAGAGCTTTACTGCTTGGATTTGGATTTGTTTCTTTTCCAGCATGCCACTCACTGCGCTCATCAGGTGACTGGGAGCATGAGGAGGAGTGGGCCAGTCATTCTGAGGTAATGACAGAATGGACATGTTTCTGTTTCAGGAAGTCTGAGGTGGTGGTACAGGTGGGTTCAGCTCCAGGCCTGTCTTTGAAACCTTTCCCCATTGTGCCAAAACATGGCTTCCAGAGGCTTCTGGGAGCTTATCAAAACAGAGGTCGGAAATGCTGGTGAGAGGCTTCTGCCAGCTGTGGGCACACAGCTGCCAAAATGGATGACATTTAAAGGACAGTCACAGAAGTCACCTGAGACCAGTCTGTAAATCCTAATAGTTTTCTAGGCTTGAGAGCAGGTACAAACTCAAACCTGCTCAGCCTGCCAGATGCCCCTGCTCTATCAGGCTCTCGCCTGAGCAGGTAAACAAAGATGCATGCTCTCAGTGTGATCTCAAAGGTCAGAAATGCTTTGTGGTGGGGAAAGGGGGCAGCTACGGTGTAGCCAAAAGATGGTGCTAAACCCCCCTACTAGTAAGACTGTATTGAGGCGGGAAGTATGTGGTCAGTTGCAAGTTCTAGCACTTTGGTGATAGTATAAACATCCTGGTACAGAGAGCCATTATATTCAGAGCTGTGTGTCCTATTATTGCTGATTCAATTAAATACCAAGATATGAAGTTAACTTTGAAAAATAAAAAAGTGTGAAACCTCAGGAAGTACAGACTCTAAGACATTTCTCCAATTGAGTTTGAGGTTACTGGTTTTATATAAACAACCGTGCTATCTGCAGATCGTTAATCCTGAGAGATGCTTAGGGGACAGTCTTGATAATGCCCCCATCACCAAATAATTTTTCTATTGATGAGTGAGGGGAGGGCAAAGTGTTAATGGTCATAACCAAGAAACAGGTTGATGAGGACAGCTGAGCAGGGCATAGTGAGATGAAGCTTACCAGTCGTGCAACCACACACCCACACCCTGGCCCCCCTGAACTCAGTAAGCACCTCTGTAAGTGTCCAAGTCTATAAACCCCCAAGGTGGTATTTGTCCTTATTGCACAACAGCCATTGTAACAGTCAGAACCTTAAAAGTTATTATTTAACCTTTGAAGCTCTATTTTCAATCAGGCCTATTAACTAAGTTGATTATATATATATATATATATACGAAGGGGGATATTTATTTTAAGAGGTATTTTTAAACATCCTTTGGGGAAGAGCACAACAGTTCCTTCTTAATATGAGTAAAAATATTGCACAGCTTGATTTGTGTCGTTTTTTGAGACAGCAGGCCCGCTTTCATTACCTAATTCCTTAAATTTTAAGCATCTAAAACATCATATATGTTCTCATGAGAAATCGTTTTAGCTCATATGGCTGCCTCCTACCCCAAAAGGTCCTTGCCCAGTCATGCCGCTCATCAATTGCCTTTTATCTTCCTGCTTATTGGCCTGGACGCCACTGAATTGTTAGTTACTACTACCCTGCCAGCCGGCAGCCCATCCAGCCTAGAGCCGTCTAAGTCACTCCATCCCATGAAGCACCAGAGAGCAGTCTTCAGCAGAGATGAACTAGACTCACTGGGAAGGGGAGTCTTGTCACCAAGAAACCAACCGTGTTTGTGCAAACACGGAATGCTTTTTGCTTATAGAAGTCAGCTTCCCTGACCTTGATCATCTAAAAGTCTAACTGCATATTAAGACAAAAAGGGAACTAGACAACAAGAAATAGACCTAAGTATTTCATAATCCTGGGAAATGAGGATTAAATTTATTTACAGATTTTGGCTGTCTGAAGTCTGAAAGTTAAAGACATTACTTGTTCTGAGGAGGGAAGAGGAGAAAATGAGCTAGATTTACAGAGAGGAGGACAACAATGAAGACCCTCTCCAGATTTTTGATGCATTAAAGCACTGCTCCAATCAAGAACCCGAGTGTGCCACCATACGAGATCTCACAAGACCTGTATGTGCTGCATGGATGTTAAAGAAATTTGCAAAAGAAAGCCCTCAGAGCCAGGATTTTCCTGTTTTCTCGGATGTCAGATGGTGTAACTGGTGGGAAACGCCAGGCTCTCAGTGTCAGTGTATCTAACACCGTCACTCCCTGTAAGAACAAATCCACCCACTCCAGCTGGCACGGGCACTGGACTAGACTCTTTCACTTCTCTACCATCTGTACACCCTGTTTCCTCCCTTGGCTGTGGCTGCCAGAGAAGCTAAAAGGCAGCTGAGAGGAGCTTGTGAGGCTGAGCCACCTACCTCTGGAATCGACTTGACGAATCGGATTCCATCGTTGGCTCCTTTCACCTTGGCCAAGCAGGCACAGAAATAATCCCAGTAGTCCTTTTTGGTGCCCAGCAGGGTGGCCTTCTCCTTCTGATCAAACTGGTCAGGGAAAGGGACAGGGAGAACACCTCTGTTCAATCATCCTTGTCAATGATATAACAATGGCTTCTTAATTGCCCAGCAAGGCACTTTACTGGCAATGTTTTTATTCATTGGCAAGTGAGGGTGTTCTAATCTCTAAATTATAGATGAGGAAACTGAGTCTAGGAGTTTACTGGCTTTAGGTCATATAACTGGTGAGATTTAGGATAGCAGCTCCCCGAAATGCTTACCCCTGGAAGGACAAGTTAGGAACGTATTTCCTGGCCTGTTGAACGTGTCTCTCTGCAGTCAGTCCAGAAAGTTTCTGTTCCGAGGCTCTTAAGCAGTATAATGCTAGAGTCTGAGATTCACTTCTGTGGCTAGGGTTGGGCCCACGGCCATCAAAGTGCTATCAGCATGATAAAAATCTACAAATGAACGTCTTAAGGGCGCATGAGGAGTGTTAACTTTCTCAACTTAGGGAAATGAGTTAGGACATTTTATCCCAGTTACTCAAGTTTCAGTATTTGCTTTGTTGGGATGTGATATTAGAAACTAATGATGTTCAAAATGATCTTTCTATAGCATAGCATAACTTTTACAGCATTTTTCCTTCTGTGCACATAGTAGATATACATATCTGCATATACTGTTATTAAGAAATAGGAATAAACCTCCCAAAAAAGAAAAAAATTATCAGGCCTAATACTACCACCCTAAGATAACATCTCACAACACATTAACATGCCAGTCCATTTCCTTCCTGTCTGGTATAGCTGCCTGTATTTATCCAGACCTGCAGAGTTCTCTGGCTCTGTGCTTGAGTCAAGAGGACATAAGCACTATACTGCTAAAGAGCCTCTTAACAGAAACTTTCTGACTGACTCCAGAAAGGCGCATTCAGCAGGCCAGGAGTATGCTCCTGACTTGTCCGCAATGATGCTGATGCTGTAGCTACATGCCACACTGAGAGCAGCCAGGCTCTGAAACAGGCTTTGGGTAATTGTCAGAGGAGCCACACAATCTTGGAAAAATTATGACTGATGTGTAGACAAATCTATATCCGCCTGGAGATTCCACAGGGTAAAACTATCCCAAAGTTAAGCTTCCTGCTAAGTGAGCTTGTGATCTGTCTTAGGCTGAAGTGAATCTCAAAAGCATCCTCGAAACTCCCAAAGCCATTGGAAGGGACCACAGTGCATCTCCACAGAGGATTGCACTTGGAGAGCGGGGCTCCTGCGGGGACTGCTCTGACCTTGGGTCTAACCACAGAGCTTACTGGCTCTCCTGAGTTTCCTGAACCACATTCTGAATCCTGCTGAGTTACCCGTGAGGAAGAAAAGAGACAATAGGGCAGATACGAAACTTTACAGAAATAACCTACTTGAAGGAGATACTCAAGTTTGTAAGAAAACTTATGCAAGCTGGTGCTGTCATCTGTGATGGGTTCCTCGGCTTCCTTAAATTCTCTGCTTAGTTCTTTCACAGCATCTGTAAGACAACAAGCAGGACCATGTAACAGATGGAGCCTACCCTCAGAGAGAGGAGCGGAGCAGCCGGGACGCAGGGGGAGGACGTAGTCAGTCAGTGATGGTAAGGCCTCTTTGCTATGCCAAGCTGTAGGTGCACCAGGGCATGGCCATTCACAGCGGGAGGTGTGGGAAGCCCCGAGAACGCATGGTCACTTTACCACAGCTCACCGATGGGCACAATTTCAGTCATCCCTCTGTGCCCACCAGGGAGGCCTTGTTATTCACACACACTACTGTGTCAACAGAGGTTTGTAGTATGGATGGATTAGTCGACAGCCCCCTAATACTGACTTCTAGAAAGCTTGATCCTTTATTCTGGTCATGTTTCCTGTTGTTCTTTACTGTAACCCTACTGCTCAGCAGAGGTAAGTCCAGGTTTCAAGAAGACCCAGAAGGTGCAAATGATAACAATTCCAAGAAAGACAACAATACAATGCCAGCTTCTGTTAACTAAGTGCCAATTAGGGGCCAGGCCTCTGCGTGTCTTTATTTATTTAATACAGTACTCTGAGGTAGGAACTGCCTTATTTTAACAAAGCTAAGATCTTAACAAGTGATTTTTTAAGATGATCAAAATTTGAGCGCTGTTAAAATGAGGGGAAATGCAGGTGAGAATGAGTAAAGTCTGTTACTGTAGTCCATTGGACGGATGAGGCACTCACACTGAGGTCAGAGCGCCTGGTCAAAGCCTGTAGGTGGCAAAGAGCTAGAATGAAAACCCTTTCTCCAAAGTAACCCCTTGACCTCTGTGTGCAGAAAAAGGAAAAAGCCACCTTTGACTCATTCAGGGTCTCTGCTGTGAACCAGAGGGGCTGTTAAAAGCTGATTTGGATAACTGGAAAAATGTCTCAAGCTCAGAGGGTTAGAATATGCTGGCCAAAACATCTCCTCCAACAACCCTTCAAAAGAAAAAAGGGTGGAAGGTGGGGGAGCAAACCAGAAGGGGAGCCCCCAGCCCCCCTCTCGGGCCCGCAGTTGGAGCACAGCTGCTCCAGTCCAAGTCTAAGCAGCACTGGCTCCCTGGGCAAAGGCCAGCAAGTAGGACAGAGAGGTTCTTGGGACTGACTTCCAACAAGTGACGACTGTCCAGCGGCGACCTGCTAGAAGTGTCACTGTGGCTGGGACAGGACAGGAAGGACGACCGGCCTTCCTCCTCTGCCTCGGCTGGTAAATGTTCACCACCTGATCTGGGAACTCGACATCCTGAAAGGAGTCTCTGCATATGAAAGATGCATACTCCAAGATGTTACTTAGGAATACACTTAGCCCTCCACGATTAGGCATTTTCTTCTTCCAACAACCTTGAGAACTGGGTGTTATCATCAAACTTACTGCATGAAGTTACAACGGCTCCTTAGAAAGTGAAGGCACGTGTCATCATCTTCCCGGGTGGACAAGCAGAACTGGGGGCTGACCCCAGCCTGCCTGCCTCCAGAGCCCGAGCGGCTGCTGTCACCAGGAGGATCAGGGCTGCCTCAGAGGCGCGGCGGCGGCGAGCGGCACCAGGACATCCCCATACACACTGTCCACAACACATCACCGCATACTTAGTAAGAGGGTAACCCAATGTACGAAAAAAGGTCTGGACAAAGTGGCACTTCCCACCGAAGTGCTCTGTGGGCACAGCAGAGGACTGGCTGACAGCCTCGGACGACCGGGCGCTCGGCACTTGGGGTGGGCAAGGGCGACTAAGACACGCTCGTGCCTGTCCTCCCCGGATCAGCTCGGCCCGAGACGCCTCTCCCTGTCTCCTCCCTCCCGCAGGACCTCCGGGTCCCAGGTCATCTTTCAGATCCAGACACTGAAGTTCTCAAAAGATGATCGACCTGTGGCAAACCTCAGAAAGCCAGCAGTGGACTCAGACTCGTAGGGACTGTCATTGGACCCCCTCCGCCTCTGTGTGTGTGTGTCTAGGAACGACAAAAGCACCTCCTATCCTGGCTGACAGCAGGCTGAGTGGCCAAGGGCACAGACGCTGGCACCAGGAGTGTGTGCCCGACGAGGCAGACGTGTGGCCGAAGGGAAGTCACTCGCTCTCTGTGCCTGGCCCCACACCTGCAAAATCGGAATGGCAATGGAGCCCGCCACACAGGACCAAATGTGAGCGCTCCCTGGGGTACTGTGCTACCGGGGGTACTGTGCTCCCTCGGGTACTGTCCGCAGACACATGCAGGGCGGTGCCTGACACGTGTGAAACACCTCGGAAATGACAGCAATTAGAAGACCAAAGTCCTATCTACTAGAAGATGAACCTGAGAAGGGGGTTTTTAGCTGGCTGACTCGGCCTTTAGAGTGCGACTCTACTGTGGCTGCCTCTGGCAGAGAGGCTGCGGTGGCCAGGAGCCTGGGCCTCCGCCGCCAGCAAGAGTGCCCCCAAGTCTGCGTGGCGGAGGAAGTGCTCGCTTTCAGGCTGTGCTGCGGCAAACGTACTGGCGCTCCACAGAGGCTTTTGAGGACAAACAGGGGAGATGTAGGACATGAAAACCTGTCAGAATTTTGACCCTTAGGAAATACCTGAAAGGGTGAAGTCAGGTCCTAGTCCCTGTGACCAGAGGAAAATACCCCCCACGTCTGCCGCTTTTTGCATGCACCCTCACTGCCTCTGTCGAGGGAGACAGGGCTGCAGCAGCAGTCCCCACTGGGCAAGGCCGAATCCAGGGACATCTAGAGACAGCACGCTTGGAGCTGGAGAGTGTCGCAAGAACAGGCCACCTGCCAGTCAGGACCAGGCGAGAGAGCAAAACAAGCAAGACGATGTATCTCGTCTTCCTGCTGAGAGGCAGGGAAAATCCTCCTTCCACGTGCGCCGACTCAGAGCCCAGAGGCGCATGACTCAGCCAAAGGCTTAACAGGCAACTTGCAAACACACACACACACACAAACTGAAATCAGACCTGGACTCAGAAAGAAGTGTTTGATTTTGTTTATAGAGTTGTTTTACAGTGTCCTGAGAGAAGGGCCCGGCAAGCTCTCTGAGCCGTACCGGGGAAGACACCTGACCCCAAATACTTCAACATGTGTCCCACGGGGTCCAATTACTCCCGGTGAGAAGGGAAAATGAAAGGCATGAATTCTAACTGGCAACAGCAGCAGCACCACCACCCTGTCAAACCGACCCCACCGTGCCCGAAGCCTGCATGTACCTTGCAAGTCTCGGATGATTCTCTGGAGCTGGTTCTCCGCGCCAGAGGAAGCCATGGTGACGGTCCAGGCCACCTTCCTTGTGTACCGTCTGCCTGGCTCCAGTCAACACAGGTCAGACTCCATGGAGGCACCTGTGTGGGGGAGGAGGCCGTGGAGGAAGCAGTTACTGACACATTTAAGCTAGAGGAACGCGGTTCTGGGCACAAAGTCGCCCTGTCGGTCATTTCTTTCAGTGGGAGAGACCTGACCTTTCTATGTGGGCCTTTGCTCTGTGGCCATTCTCTGGCTGGCTCTGACACACTGATATTTAAACACAACGACCTGACCGTGGGCTTAACTAGCAGGACGCTCAACCAAAGGGACAGCCTTTTCTTTTGGAGCATTCCTCCTACTTCACTTTCTTAGTCTCGCTTTCTACCCTCAAAATGCCTCTCAGTGGCGCCCTTCATGTCCCGTAACAAGGGCCAGAAAGTCCAGCCCACTTTCAGACAGTGTGCCAAGCCTAAGGTGCTGGCTCCCACCAGATTCTTGCCTCCCCCACGTCCAGCCCCACACCCACCCAGGCACCCGTTCTCTGAGGAAGGGTCAGTCACCTCAGGCCAGGCGGCAGTGGGGCAAGAGGCTGAGGACACATACCCTCAAGGCTTCAGGATCAAGGAGAGCCTGGCTGGCCTCATGTGGAACGGGCTCTCTGGAGGGGAGTTCTGTAGTCCCCAGCTGCCCAGAGTCCAGTGCAGGCTGGGTGCAGACACCGCCTGGCCTGCCAGCCAGGGGCCTGCATAGCCCTCAAGGGACACGTCTCTATTTTAAGCCCAGCTACGGCTGGTGAGGCTCGAGTCACCAGCCCGACTTGGGCAGCTGTTGAAGTAATTTAAGGACACCGTAGTGGCTAAAACCAACAAAGATGAGGAGATGTGGTACTGGTACATGCATTTGGTCTCCCGTGTCCGCTCAGAATCCGTAACTTTTTCCTTAGACATCCAGTGCACTGTAATGTTTGGTGGGAATACAGCGAGAAGAAAGCTGTGGAAACAGCTGCCCTGCAGGAGGCCTCTTAGGGACTTTCCACACAGGGGTCATCACCCCGGTGGGGCAGATACCACACAAAGGAGAAGCTGACACTCAGAGCCACCATACAACGTGCCTACAGTGAGGGCCAGCAAGGAGTGCACTCACAGCTTGAACCCTGGCCAGTCTAATTTCAAGCCCTGTGGCTTTACAACTGGGCTGCTGTCACTATAGCAAATGACAGATCATTTCTACTGGGTTATAGGAACTGCCCTGAACTCCAGAGCCTCCCAAATAATGAGCCATCATTATGCTGAGTCTTTCTAACATGCGCTGGTCCTCAGGATTTCGGCGCCCCCTTACCTTTACTGCTTCTGGGGTCACGGCAAGAAGATCCCCAAACAGAAATGTTCCCTGACCTTAAGTCCCTCCAAATGTGCACATAAGCATTCCAGTGTCAGCGAGAGAGCAGCAGGGTGTCACAGGGCAGAGAGCCCCGGGTCTATTTTTAACGACCGAGTGCAGCTGTGACTCAGTGCAAAGAAGGCCCAAAGAGGGCTTGGGGGAAAGAGACAGGCACACATCTGGAGCACACCCCCATGAATTCAAGACATGGAGCCCTGGAAGGCAGAGTGGGGGGGGTGCACTGAGAACCCTTCAACATATACTGGCACCCCACCCATCACAGACACCACCCTGAAGGAAGGAGCCTGCTTCCTGCACAACCCGGGTGTCTTTCCAGGTCACCTGCTAACACAAGCTGAGCAGAGACCAGCAGAGAGAGCCCAGGCCTGGCCTGGCTACTGCTGAGGCTCTCCTGTCCTCAGACCATCCTGACACTCGCCCCTCCGCCGAGGCTGGAGGATCAAGGATCATCATGACACACAGCCGCCCCCGCCCCTCACTCTGCAAGCGCATACTGTGTGCAGGCTGTGGACACAGGGCCCACAACACATAGCTGTACCCCCCTAGAGGAGATCGCTATACACCAGGGAACGAGACAGAAAAATATCCAGATATCTGCATGTGCGGAAGAAGTCCAAGTGGGCTACGGATGAACAGCTTGGAGCACTCAGCAATGAAAAGGCAGGAACCCTGGTGCACACGGCACATGCACGTGTCAGGTGACAGTAGCCACACTGAGGAGGATGCCGACTTTAGTAGTCCCTCTGGTGATATTCTTGCGAAGGCAGAACACTGGGAGAGATATAGGATTGCCAGGGGCTGGGGGTGAAGAGAGGGTTTAACGAAAAAAGAGTACGAGGAAATTGGGGGGGGCAATTTTGGATTGTGGTAGAGGTTGCATGACTGTATATGTCTGACAAGTACTTATTGCATAGTCTGAATTATAACTCAACAACAAAAGGGACATTGTGATGAATTTCTGAAAGATGAGAGCTGAGGAAGGGAAAATGAATTCTGCTTGGGAAAGATAGAAGGTGGCAGACACTGCAATGGCAACTGGGTTGGGCCAGGCCTGAAAAATGCTTAGGAGTTCATGAAGAAACTGAAGAGGGCTGAGGGATCCAGCAAGAGTGAAGCCTATTTCTCCACCTGCGTTCCTTTCACTTGGCTGCGTAGCTTCTGGGAGAAATAATCTGGGCAGAACATGACCAACACCCCATGAATCCTCAAACAAAGCCCACTCCCCTGTGTGCACACTAAAATGCAGGGTGTGGCTCGCACATGAAGGAGAGGGTGGGGCTCGAGAAGGAAGGGACAGCAACACAGACTCTGAGCAACTCCTCCAGGCGCGCAGGCTGACTGCATGAACTCACCAACCAGGGGGTTCCTGGAAGCCAGCCCTCTGGGGCCGGTCACCAGGGGGGCAAGGTCTGCGGGACACACCCGCAGTCCTGGCATGAGTCTGGCCACAGAATTGTCCCCTTCAAGGCTTTTTAGTGCCCTGGTGACGCTGCCATTGTGTCAGGCTGAATCCAGAGGCCTTCCTGCCTGACACTTGGCAGGTCACAGTGTGAGCTATGCCCAGCTGCTGATTGCACAAGGCGAGTTCCCGAAGAGCCCATGTCACCACCAAGGTAATGAGCTCTAAGAAAGGGGCTGCTGGGTCACAGTGGCTTCCCCTCAGCTTCCAGTGAGGGTCATCCTCACAGGGTCTCAGGAAGTAAATCAGAACCTCGGGGAAGAACAGGGTCACCCCAGGAGGCTATTTCATGGACCTGAAAAGGCCCACTCTTAGCACTTTGCCCTCCTTCCTCACTCGAGATCATAATTAACAAACAAGACACAGACGGGACTCGACTCTCCCACACCACAGTCAGCCTCCTTGTGTCACTAGACAAGCGAGCTCTGCATTGAGGGATGGGTTATTTTTACACTTCTGACAACTAGTTCTAACTCACCTGGAGTTAGAAAAATGCAATCCAATTCTGACACTAGACTACCTGGAGTTAGTGTAGACCCCAGGGAGGAAAGGCCGGGACACAAGACTGCCCCAGCTTCAGGTATGAGCTGCGAGGCCCAGCTGGCTACGTGGCCTTGTGACCGACTGGGTTTGACAGCTCCCTAGAATGCCTCACAAACCTTGGGCAAACACTTTGCTATTACCATGTTTTTGTAAAGGATGCAACTGGGAAATAGTTACAGGGAAGAGCTGCACAGAGCTGAGAGGGGGTTCCCAGAGCCTTACACCTTCTCAGGGCTCTCTACCCTCCACACCCTGAAGCGCTCGCCAGCCCAGTTCTCAGAAAGCTGCCGGCCAGAGTCAGTCCAAGTAGTGGGCTCAGTCCGGGCACGGCCTCGCAGTCACTGGCCACACAATGGCCGCCATCTTCCGCCCCTCTCTGCCATCCTGGCCAGGGGGTGGGGATGAAAGTCCCGACACAATTGTTTCCCCTGGCAAGCAGTCGCACAACTATCTGTGTGACTGCAGTCATGTTATTAGTGTAAACTCAGGTTTGGCTATAAGGGGGGTTGTTATGAGTAACAAAAGATGCTCCCATCACCCTTGCTACTCAGGAAATTCCAAGGATTTCAGAAGCTCTGTGTCAGAAAGGAGGACAAAGACCAACTGCGCAGTTCACAAGGATCACAGACTGTGGCCTGTTCCAACCTGATCCCGACCTCTGCAAACATCTCTCCTAACCAAAAGACATTCGGAGAGCTTCTGTCCCAACCACCACACTACTTCAGCACCAGGGGAAGGACTCCAGGAGACCCCACAGTTCACAAGACCCCCCCGAAGTGCAAGAAGCCTCAGTGAGCCCAAGGTCCTGAATGTGTAACATGTAAAATTCTCCATCTCTGCCTCTGCCATGCTCTTTCAAACACTGGGGAAATTCATCTTTTGAAATTTGGGGGAATGTAGTTCCTCTAACCAACAAATGAAAATTATGTTTAAGCTTATCCAGAATGTCTGAAATTGCCCACTCTTCTTACAGAGAAGGGACTAAAAGCAATTATATATGTGTACTCATATGTGTATATATTTTTTTTTTACCTGGAACTATTGCCTAAATTCCTAACTATAGCCTAGCTATTATTTCAGAGGTAAAGGGCTTTACCTAACCTCCAAATTCCTGTCCAGCTGCCCCCGATGCCTCAAGTAATACATACAGTGGTTGCGTCCCAAATTAAGACGCAAAGACACCAAGTGACTCACATAAACTTATTTACGCTATGTTGCAAATGACTAATACTCTTCATGTGGCTCTAAAACTCATTGTCAAGAGCAATACAGTCTAAATAAGGACAAAAACAACAGAAAGGGGGGAGGAGGAGAGAGGAGGCGAAAGAAGAGGAAGGAGGGTGGGAGGGGAAAGAGGAGGGGAGGAAGAGGCTTAGGACAGGAACACAACCTTGCCCTACCTTCATTGTTTTTTGCACTTGCACCCAACACAACAGCTGAGCCCTGTGGAGAGGACAGTGTATAGCCAGGCTCCTCCCCTGCTTCCAACAAGGCGGAACATGTCAGGTGCACAGGCCACAGAACAGGACGGTTCAGATCAGTTAAAAGCCTTTCTGAAAGCGCCCATTGTTTTTGGCCCGGTTCGGCACACTCAACAGCATCTAGCTAGTTAACACCTGTGGAAAGGGGACACCTGGCTGGTACCTGTGCTTTGAAGGCCTGGAAGTCCTGCTGGTCAGAGCTGAAGCGGCTGATGGGCAGGCAGGTGCCCTCACCAGAGCTTCCAGAAGGTGTCCAGGGGAATGCTCAGGAAGCCAGCTCAGAAGCAGACATTTCAGCACCCGTGAACAAGGGCGCATTAGCGACCCAACCCCTCAGACCTGTAATTAAGGTGATGACCAACTGCGTGCCTGGAAGAGCTCTCCCAAACACTCCTACTTCTTGCTTGCCGTCATCTCTCTTTCTTAAGGGAACGAGAACCTGGGACTTGGCCATCGCCTCTTGAACCCTTCCCTGGTCCCTTCCTCCCAGCAACAACTCCAGCTATCTTGATCACTCCACCTTGAACACTCACAAAGCTGTCCCCAGTTCCTGCCCACTGACTCAGGAGAGCAGAGTTAAGAGGAGCCCATGGATCTGAGGTGCTGCTTCGGGGCTTAAGGGGTGGAGTGGGGGAGGGAGCAGCCACCAGTTCTTTTTTAGGAAGGTGGCAACTGCTGCCAGGAGAGACCATGCGTCCCTACTTAGGGCTGTAGATCCTGCAGTCCTGTCACTGGAAAATCCAGAGAAAACATCCAGCAGGTGATGACAGTGCGCATGAAAATCTGCACACTAACTGGCATAGCTGCACAAACAAATGAGAGGTCACCTATGCAACCACTCCGAGGGCTGCGGCCGCAGCTCTCCAAAACAGTACACCTGGGAACTCACCTGGGGGGAGGGGGCGGCAACGTGATTACGAATGCAAGGTGGCAGAACATGTCACGGCCATGAACCACAGCCTGAGGAACACGACACGCAACCAACATGGACTAGCCAACTGCTTGCTGGCAGGACGATGTGCTGGGCATCACTATTAAGAAGGAGGCCTGACCCAGGAGCTGGGACTACCCGGAACCAACACTCCAAGGGGGAGAAACAGATAGCATATGCCCCAGCAGGAGAGCTACGGCCAAGTCTGAGAGCTTACATACACACAAGTCAGTCCTCAGAGATGAGCTGAGGACGGGTGAGTGGGCAGGTCCCCAACTGCATTATACTCATGACGCTAAGCTAAGCTAAGCTAAGCTCGCTCACTGCTTTTGTGGCCATTCACCAAGATGGTAATTTCTTGTTTACTCTATCCTTCCCAGCGAATCTGCAAGCTCATCCTTACTTTCTCAGCACCCAGCACAGCCTGACACGTGGAATGCCCTCAGGAACAGTGACAAGTTGTTTCCTGAGTGACTGACTGCATGACATAAAGCCAAACTAAACTTTAGGCATAAGAATGTATTAGGAATGTACCAACAATTAAATAATAACCATTATCTTTCAAAAGATGCGAAACATGGGTAAGACTTCAAAAAGTCTGTTCTCTGACTTTTAAACTTTGCTCTATAGATCATAAATTATTTTTGGCTGAAAGAATGCATTTAAAAGATCTAGCAGTAGTTATAGATGTTATATTGTTGTTACTGTGAAAATACGGAGTTACTTTTCCAAGAGTAGACAGAATAATATAACTGAGGGATTGGACCGATTAAGTACGACAGCAGGTGAGTGGGTACCCCAGCTCCACCCTGAGCCCTACCAGAGCCTCCCACCCATCCAAAGATAATCACATCACAACTCCTCCCACCACCACCCCACCTCACCAGATCTGCACAAGGCCCTTTCCTCTCTCCACTCCTGCGACCATCAAACAGGAACTTTGCAAGAGTGGGAAGGTGTTGATGGATCTGAGTTTTGCTGAGCTTCTTGGATGACAAGGGCAACAAGGGTTGCAGAAGGGGCAGGAGGTGAGGCTACAATGGCAGAGAGGAGTGGCAAGACCCGACTCTGACGCTGGAGTTGTGATAATGGGCAAGATATCTGTCTTCTCTTTTGTCAACTGAGGCTGAGTGGACCTGTCTGGAGTTCTGGCATCAGGCTAGTCATGCGAAACCTCCATTACCTGTAAGTACTGCAATAAAGATCATGCCACGATCAGGTGAGACCCAAGATCTGTTAAGCTCACCAAACTATTTTCAGGCAATTTTAGCAAACTTGGCTGTCCTGGGGAAGTCATCAGACCTCTTTCAACCTGTGTGCACTGTGGTAATTTTTCTCAGGTGCAATGTGGACAGCTCATCATACCCCTTCCTTCAGAGGGAATATGGGGAGGCACAGACATTCTCAACAGTTCACTGTGGCTGAGGCTTCCAAGTGTCCCTTTCTGTTCTTAACCAAGGCCCCAGATGCCCTGGGAAAAGTATCTGGGGCCACAGGTTCAACTGCAGGAAATTCCTCCCACCTCCTTGTTAAACTAACGCCTCTCGTTCAACTGACCAGTCCATCCTGGACCTTTCACAGCTATTCCTAGTGTGTCCAGCTCCCTGCACTAATGGCTCGCTTGGAATGCTTTCTTTGCTTTGTGTTTTTCATCTGATCCAAGGGACCCCATCACTTGGGTTTCTGCCCCAGACTGAGGTGCTGTACTCCAAGCTCCTGAGGTAGCTGATCATACCTACCCCTGAGCTCCTGGAACCAGCCACAGTAGCATAACCAAATGACTTGCCTACGTCTATCCTCAGACCACACTGATGCCACATCCTCATGCCTAAACACAGGATATGCCCAACTAGAAGCGGGTCTTTGGTGCCTTTCAAATGCCACAGAGACCCACCCACGCTAACAGCAAGCACCACCAACGTCACTAAATCCACCAGGCTACCTGGCTCCAATATGAGCAAGAGGAAACAAGGCCTCCTGCCCAACTAAGCACAGCTTCTTCCTTCCTCTTCTAGAACTCAGGAAGCCCATGTGCCTGAGGTTGGAGGTCTAAGCTGTTCTATCTCAAGGGGGCAGTACAGATGTTTTGGCAATTTTTAAACATATATCTAAAAGCAACAAGAAAATAAACACAAATCCATGGAAATATCTCAGCACCTACTCTCCTGATTTATTTAGTTGTTCAAACATAGGCTCTTTCACCAATCAAAAGCTTCTTCTTTTTTTTAACAGTCATTGAGATGACAAACAAATAGAAAATGTTTAATCGTTGGAGCTGGGCCATAACATACCAGTCACTAGGAAAGCAGAGACTGACAATGTCAAATGTGATCATCTCATATCACGCCTCTGACTGGCTACAAGGCAACAGAGTCTTACCTGCTCTGCTGGAGGCTGTTCCAGTGCATGTAGCTCCAAATGCTGAGTCCCTACGAGCTGCTTTCACCCTGAGACTATAGCTAAACAACATGCTTCCTCTGCCTCATGTTTAAAGACATCTTAGTCTTGAGTCACCACAGCTGTCCTGGGAAACCCAGGTTATCCACTAGCCAAGCATCTCTAAAATGAAGTGGGGGCTGCCATTTCTTGAGTGAGTGCCCACTCTGTGTGTTCTGGAGATAGCAGACCTCAGCCCTTGGAGACCAGCCTTGGGTTGAGGGCACCAGTTGCTTTGATCTTGTTCTGTCCTGGGTGGTTCCTCTCATCACAAACATCTGTGAGAGAATATTCCACCCTGAAAGCATCAGGCTGAAACATGACTCCTAAGCCCACACTAGTGCCCCAAGCCAGTCACAAGGAGCAAAGATCATCCAAGAAGCAGCCACAGGGTCGACTCTAAAGCAAGTACAAAAATTAATGATGTAAATTCCTACTTGAAGAACCAACACAAGGGCATATAGATATTCACTATACAATTCCTTCAATGATTCTGTATAACTATTTCCCTAGTAAAATACAGAAAACAACCTAAACTAAATGAAGCACCACACAAAGATAAATAGTTCCGATTTTCAGACCCTTCTCATCCAAAAAAAGCCCCATCACTGATAAAAGTCAGAGCTACTTAACTCTGATATCGGGGTAACGACAATAATGGATTACAACTGATTCAGAACAGTCACTATACAGTGGTATCAAAGGCAAGAGGGGCAAGTGGAACCCACTCCCTTAAGAAGCCACTGAAAGCTGCAAATGTCAACTGTCAGTTCTTTTCCATCTTATCAGCTGGCAGTCAGTCAGAGGACGGGGGTGTTAACTTGCTACAGAGACCACAAGGCTCAGTGGCTGGAGGGCAGATTAAGGTCTGATCCTCTACCCTCAAAGAACAATGACACATTTCTTCTCAGTAAAGGAAACTGCTGCGGTAAGAGAAGTAGAAAGGCAGAGAGGCTGTGGTCAACAAAGCCATGTTGAGACCTGGGGCATCCATAGACACCTGAGCCAACAGGGAGCTACATCACTAAGGTGTCAGCCACACTTGCTTTTCTTCTAAAAATGAGGTAAAACAAAATTCAGCTCCCCCCTTGTGACCCCAATTTAGGTTCTGAACGGCAAGGACTCTAGCTCAAGTTCTGTGCAGTAAACAAGAGACAATCTACTCATCCACAGGTGTTTCACGAAAGAACATTTGGGGATTATCTCCATACCCTGAGTCTGGGTACAAGGGGCAGTGGGTAAGATGGACCATGGTCTGAGGGTGGCCAGAGATGAACAAACCGTCCCCCTCAGAGAAGGGAACAGACCCAGGCATCCATGGAAACTTGCAAAGCCAAGGTTTAGGCTGCCCCAGACCAGCTAAGCCAGAAACAGCTTCTAAAGGTCAGCGGCCGCTGGGACACCGTAAGCAGAAACTCTGGGGCCGTCTCTAGGTGCCCAAAGGATGCAACACTTGTTCTGAGACTCCTCACATGGTAGGCTCCTTTGCAGTCCCGCAGTCGTTGGGGATCATGGAATTGGAACTGGGGGAGGGGGGAGGTAGTAGGGGGTTCTCTCTAACTGACCATCAGAGGTAGCCTGGGGCCTGGGTCGGCTTCACCGGTCCAAAGTGCTTCGCTGGGCAAGGGCGAGGGCGAGGGCAAAGACTAGGGTTCGGGCTGAGTTCCTCTGTGGGACAAGGGGCCAGGGGCCGGGAGGGGGGGCAGATTCGGTAATGGCAACAGGTGACAAGCCATACCGGAGAGAAGTTTTCTGCTGTCGAGCCCAGAGTAGCCCTAGTGCCCCTGATGTCCGGCCAGACCCCTATGGCACTTACACGCTTATGAGTCCAAGGCTTGGCAGAACCGAAACTTTCTGGGGCCAAGCGGAAGAGTACTGGAGTGCGGAGTGCGCGGCCATGACGCAGAGCCCGCGGCAGCTGGACAAGGACTACAACTCCCGGCATGCTCTGCAGGGCCGAAGCCTACAACTCCCACCGGATTCCATGGACAAGGACTACGACTCCCGGCATGCTCCTCAGGACCGAGCCTTAAAAACTTCCACTGGTTGGTTCCAAGCCCAGTCCTGCCGCTTGGTGCCGACGCTAGGTTAACCCTTACGATCCCGGCCTCCAGGTGTGTCCACAAATCTTGGATCTGCGATTTGGAATGCGGTGCGGACCCTGTGTAGCTTTTGAGAACTTGAACTGTGGAACTTGAACTCGTTTGAGCTGAACAATGCGTGTGCCCTAAGTGAAAAAAATCAAAGGCTGAATCCAAAGACTTAGATAAGGATACAAATTAAGTTTTAACGTTTGAATATTAATTACATGCTGAAATATTAATAATTTTTTCATATACCCTATTAATAGAAAATAATAATGTACTTCTGGACTTCGTGTCACATCTTTTGATTCACCTCGTTTCTTAACGACAGGGACCTACTTAAAATCTCTACTCAGGCCCTCCCTGGTGGCGCAGCAGATTAAGGCACTGCACTAAGAAGCTTAAGCCACTTGCGCATGAGTTCGATTCCCGCGATTCCCGCCTGCCCCGGAGGAGATCCAAACGGCGTGGCAGACCTCTCCTGACCTGCTCGCTGCTCCCCTCAGCAGTGTACTTCGTCGATCTGCCTGTTCTGCTCCCCACTCTGTACCTGGTGAATACTCTCACCCTTTCGCATCTCTGCCTGTACCCCAGTTCTGTATGAATAAATAAATAAATCTTTAAAAAAAATCTCTACTCAGAAACTGTTTTGATGAATTACCTGACACCTTTCCTCTGCCCCACTCACAGTCCAATTTCTATTTTCTTTCTTCTAGGTATAAGTTGCAAAGGATTCCCAGGCTAGACTCAAGAGAACAGTGCATTCACTAATAATTCTACAATAGGCACAAGAGAGAAGAGCAGCAGGGCCCTCACTGGTGTTGCAACAGGTTAAAAGCACAGCACTGTGAAGTTATCCACAGCCACTGAAGCACGAGTTCAATCTCCCGCCAGGGAGGTGACCCACATAGTGGGACAGACCTCTCCTGTCTTGCCTGCTGCTCCCCTCAGCAGTGTGTCTTGCCTGCTGCTCCCCTCAGCAGACTGTTCCACTCTCTACTCTGTCTTTAATAAATCCTCTCACCCCTCACACCTCGCTGTACCCCAGTTCTTGTATGCATAAATAAATCTTTGGGGGGGGGGAAGAGAAAGCGAAAAGAAGCAGTACACAAAGTCCTTCAGCCTGTCACTGGGCTCCATTTCTTAGATCCCACTGCATCATCCTTTACTTTCTACCCTTGTTCTCACCATTTAAAGCAGGAACAGCTTCTACCTCACAGGATGAAGCTAGCTAGTGATGTCCAGTCAAGAGCCCCAGTATTTCAAATGGAGAAGAGAGGAGTTGTATGGATAGAATAATACAGGAAGGAACATCAATTTCTCAGTTAAGTTTAGGCTATGACACCTCATCCTTTATAAATTAGATATAGATGCCACCGTAAATGGGATAGATGAAGTAATGAGTTTTCAGTGATTGGGGAGAAGTGACTTCCATTATTCCTGTTAAAATCTAAGAAAGGAAAAGAGGAGGGGGAGGAAGGACAGGACAAAGGGAAATCACTCATCCAACCCCAGTCTGAACTGTTGGATGAGGCATTAAATACGAGAGGTTTTCGTGTCAGTCATCTGATCCAACATCCATGTTGGACTATGTAACCTTGGGTAATTTGCTTATCCTCTGTGTGCTTGACCTTTATTTTTAGGAGTGGCAATAATAATAACTTCAAGTCATATTTGTATTACATGAGCTAAGACAAGCACTCTGCCATGGTGCTGAATAAAAAGTTAGTGCCCAATAACTGCTGGTCATGTTATTATCATTACCATGATCACCATTTCATTACTGGACCATCATCATCATCTTTGCTCTCACCTGCACCACTACCACCATCATCATTATCATCTTCATTCTTTGCAGAAGGATAACCAACCAGCTAGTGGCACAGCTGGCACCAGAATCTTGGACTTCAAATTCCTAATTAAGTGATTTTTTTTCCCACGGAAAGCTCAAATTCTCAAGGCATACCTAAAGAGGCTTTAAGTACTTGATGCCAAGATCTTTTTTTCTTCCAAATAGCAAAATGAAGTTCTTTTTTTTTTCTAAATTGGTTCTTGATACTCAGAATAAAGGAAATCAACTACAGCTCAATGTGGAAAGAAACCCCAAAAAAACTCAAGAAAAATTCTTATCTTTGCTATCAATAGATAACCTTTGAGTAAATGTTTGTTATCAATAGATAACCTTTGAATAGATGTAGGAAATTTTCAATACTGTTGAAGAGAGTATTGACAAAAATGAACGATGCTGTAAGAAAATAAAAAGAGAGTAATTGAACTTGCCATTTTACAAGCATCACTGTTTCTCTCACTGAGGAGTTCAAGGGGCAGCACTCTGAAAGGAATGCTTTGGGATGGGTCCGATCATACTGCTTGTCAAAGGCTCCTTTCTAACGTATCATTGCCCAGTATCATTGCCATGATACTGCTTTCCTGCAGGCTGTGACCAGGTGTTTGGTGGCCAGACTTTTCCCTAGCTTGGGGGGATTCTCCACCACATGAGTCTTGGTAAGAGACAGCCCACTTCTCCTGCAGGAGCCAAGGAAGTCAAAGTTAGCTTTCCCAGCTCCCGTGGGGATGGAGTGTGGCTGCTGCCCTTGGCTCATCTCCTGCTCTGTGCAGAGGCACTGAGCGAAGGCTTTCTGGAGCAGCCGTGACCTCTGGCTCCCAAGGTGGTTATGCCAGAGTTAGCCTCCTTTTGTTCCCCAGATTCTCCTGTCTTCCTTTCAGTTTTGAACACATTTATGTATAACACAATTTTTTCATTTTTCTTTTTGCTGAACCATTTACAATGTAAATGTTGGGTCCATGCATTTCCACAGCTTGCAGTCACGTGAAGAGTTTCTGCCTCATTGCTATAAGGCACACACTTCAACATGCAGGTTGTGGCTCTACTTATAGGCAGCACACTGGAGCACGTGGGAAGTTGAAAAAAAAAAAAAAACCATGTCTGGATCCCACCCTCAGAAATACTAATGTACCTATTTGGGCATGGCCTGGCATCAAGATTCTTTAAAAATGCAATGTAGTTGTAGACATCATGATGTTGTACCCTGGCATTTCTGACATACTCACAATACAATCATGCTCCATATCTTTTTCCACATATTTTTGTGTGGCAACCAGTTGCTGATTAAGGCTGAGTTTTGATGGACACATCTCTGAATTGGAAAAGCTTGATGTGCGCAATGAGTAAGTACTTGGGGAATGAGACAGATCTGAGTTGGAAATTTCTGATCTAACTGAACCCCTGAACTAAGTAGGTCACTTATCTCTCCAGGACCCCTCTTCTCATTGGGTAATAGTGTCTAACTTGAAATTTGTAGTGAGAAAGGCATGGTGTGTACAAGCACATAGTAGGTGCTCAGTAAATACTGAGTGCATGACCAAGTGACTCTACATACTGGATCAGTGGCTCTCAAACTTGGCTCTACATGAGAAGCACCAAGGTACTTTTAAAGAATCTCGATGCCAGGTCACACTCCAGGTAAGTACATCAGTATTTCTGAGGGTAGGATCCAGACATCAGTACTTTTTTTTTTTTTTTCAATTTCCCATGTGCTCCAGTGTGCTGCCTGTAATTACAGCCACATCTGCATGTCGAAGCATGTGCCTTATAGAGGTGAAGCAGAAACTCCTCGCGTGACTCAAGCTGTGGAAATGCATGGACCCTACACAGACAAAACAGGCCTTGGTAAAGTCAATTTCCTCTCTTTTGTGAGTCTTTGGTTAGGTGCCGCCTCCTGGGGGCAAGGTAGACACCAAAATTTCTGAGATGGGCCAGAATTCCCCTCACACCTGCTGAAATTCATGCCCTGTGCTTTCTGCTCAGGCAGCCATCATGAAGTCCCACAGACTTGGTGACTTGAGCAACAGAAATTTACAGCCTCACAGTTCTCAAAGCTAGAAGTGTGAGCTCAGTGTTGGCAGGTTAGCTCCTTGTGAGGTTGTGAGGGAGAATCTGCTCCATTCCTCTCTTCTAGCTTCTGATGGTCGCTGACAATCTCCTGTGTCCCTTAGTTTAGTAGTAACACAGCTCCAGTCTTCACATAACTCTATCCCTTTGTCCAAATTTCCCCTTTTTACACAGACACTGGCCATATTGTACCAGTAATTCATATTTGCCTGGCCTGGATGATTGACAAAAATCTACTGCAAGGAAAGGAAATCCCCATCTTTATCTGCTCCTCCTACTTTGGTTAGAGTTGGTTCAGCAATCTGACTCTGATCTTTGCCAATAATATGGATAAAGGGAGTAAAAAAAAAAAAGGCTACAAAACTGCTAATTTTGTAAAGCATTTTCTGTTTATTGTGAAAGTAAAGGAAACCCACAAATGTTGACTCTAATAGGAAATTATACTCAATTTTCTGGCTGGATAAGTAGCAAGCCACTTCTTTGGGGGATATTGGTTCAATTTAACTGGATAAGTTACTGAGGAATGTTCTAGAAATGCAATGCTGGGTTGATGTCCTAAAGGATCTTCCACTCTTAGTGAAGTCATCAAGTTCTGGACCAAACTTGGGCAGGGAGACACATTCCCAGAGATCAGAATTTCTTTCCTCCGTGATTTTGGCCTGAAGTATGCTGAGGTGGAAATGCTGTGGCAAGGATCTTCCTTGGGAACTACTATGGGTATTTTAGGTTCTAGGCACGGTTGAAGATCTGCAGCCCTGGGTCCAGTAGATCTGCTTTATCTACTAGAGAGCAGGAGAAATAGACCCACAGGAGTCTAGCTGAGGTTGAATAGTGATGTTTCAGTGGCTAGAAGGAGGGGGAAGCAAGAGACCGTGGCGCATGAAGGCTTGCGGTCAAAGAATGTGGAGTGTGGTCACTGTTCTAATCCTCTGGCTGCCCCTTTCAGCAGTCTCACCTGCGGTTCCCTTTCAGATACTCCTGATACTCCTCCATCTCCCCATTCAAATTCCTCTTCTCTTGGATTCTTAAGGACTAAATGAAAACAGATTGATTAAAGATGACAATGACCCTGGCAGTTAGTTTATCAGAGATGCCAAAGCATTATTAGAAATGTGAAGAGCAGGACACGATTGTATTTAATTGTCCTCAGGGATATGACTATATGTGTGGAAAGAAATACTTAGATAAGCATTCTGGAATGTTCGGGGGTCAGATAGAGAAGGAGATGGTGGACTAAGATTCTCAGAGGGCAGGCTCTAGAGTGATAGGAGACCCTCAAACCTGCCTTCTAAGAATAGACTGAAAACCCATGGTGCTCAGGTTTGGCCAAGTTGGTGTGTGAGCTGGAGTCCTCTACCCTTCTGCCCCCTGACTGAACATGCTCTCTATATACAAATTGAACAAAATTTTAATTATATCAGCCTGGAAATGTGCCAAATAATTAGCCTGACAGAAGCCCATAGGCTAGCTCTTACCCCAAAACTACTTCAATGTCTCCTTCCTTTTGCTGTTTTTTTCTATACATGGTGAGAAATCACCCCCCTGTAAGTTCGTGAGCGCCCTAGAACTCCTGCAAAGCTGGCCACACAATGGCAAATAGCTCACCAAAACTGAAGTGGGGAAAGTGCCTTACAAGCTCTTTGTGGTTCCAGCTGAGAATCCTCCAGTTGAAAGGAGGTTTGTGTTGGTAGCTCCTTTATTCAACCAGCATATATTGAGTACTTACTCTGCAAATGCATGCTCAAGGAACTACGGAAGGCTTTGGAATTCCCATTTTCAAGCAGCTGTAGCCAGAGATTCCTAACTGGGACACACATCAGAATCACCAGGTGAGTTTTTCCAAAGGTCCCATCTAGAACTGAATCAGGTTCACAAGGTTGGCCCTAGGTCTGTGTGAAATGGCAAAGCTTTTATCTATACCTTTGGATATGAAGCTATGGGGTAGTACACAGGGCAGGTATGTGCACCACTAACTGAAAAACAAGATCGACAGCCACTGCTACAGAGGATAAGCAATACACTCTGAGAAGGGAAGGCAAGGGGAGAAAGATTAATATCTATAAAGAAATAGCCTGAGACAAGGAAGGCACAAAGTGCCCGACGGCACGCCTTCCAAGAAAAATAACTTACAATAATGACAGCCATCAGCTTTTGCTCCCTCTCAGTACACAGTAGGACAACCATGGCTGGCAGGATGCAAGATGGGGCAGGGGGTGTGGCACATGTATGTCAGTGACACAGGTGAAGAATGACAAGGGCTATTCTTTTTTTAAGATTTATTTACTTATGCATACAGAACTGGGAACAGGCCAGAGGTGTGGTGGATGAGACGATTCACCAGAGACAGAGTGGGGAGCAGAACAGGCAGATCCAATGAAATACACTGCTAAGGGGAGCAGTGGGCGGTCAGGAGAGGTCTTCCATGCCATTGTGGGTCAGCTCCTTGGCTGGGGGTGCTGCAGTGGCTTCAGAGCTTCATAATGAGGTGCTTTAACCTGTTGTGCCACCGGGGAGCGCCCAACAAGTACTCTTCTAAAGGAGACAAGTAAAGTGCCATGGCAACCAGATTTATAGACTGGGAAAGCTCCCTGAAAGAGCTGACCTTTCATCTGGGGACTGCAGGATAGGAAGGTAGAAGGTCAAGTGTTTCAGGTCCAGCTGAGAGAATGGCAGGAGGACTGGGGAGAAGTTGCACGTAGTAGTAGCCCAGTTTTCCCAGCACCAATTGTTGAACAAACTCCCTTCGTTCCATTGTATATTCTTTGCTCCTTTGTTACAGGTTAGCTGTGGGTTTATATTTGGGTTTTCTATTAGATTCCATTGGTCTGTATGGCTTTTCTTCCAGTAGCATGTAGTTTTATTATGGCTTTGTAGTTTAGACTCTGGGAGTGTGATACCTCCTTTCTCTTTTGTCAGGTGCTTTTTAGGTTTTTGCGGTTCCATATGAATCTCATCAATACTTGTTTCTTTGAAGAACGTCACTGAGAGTTTTATTGGAACAGTATCAAATCTATAAATTGCTTTTGTTAGGATGGCTATTTTAATCATGTAAATTCTTCTAATCCATGAGCAGGGGATGTCTTTCCATTTGTTTGTATCTTTTTGTATTTCTTTTAACAGTGTGTCATAATTTTCTTTGTATAGGTCTTTTACCTCTTTTGTTAGGTTTTTTCCCACATATTTGATTTTTTTCGTTTGTTTCAATTGTAAAGGGGATTTTTATTATTATTATTATTATTTCCACTTCTTCTGATTAGTTGTTTGTATATTGGAAAGCTACTGATTTTTGGGTGTTGATTTTATATCCTGCTACTTTACTAAACTGGTTAAATTACAGAATATTTGGAAGATATAAAGATGAATGAGACACTGTTACTTCCCTCCAGGTTTCTACAATCTGGTGTCAGTTAAATTTTCCAATCTTACTCTACCTTAAGTCTCCATCCTCAAGTATCCTGAGATACAACCATAAAAGGCCTTTTCTAGACACTCTCAGAACTAGACATAAGACCTGAAACCATAAATATAGAGAAGAAAATATTGGCAAAATACTACATGACATATATATATATGTACACACACACACACACCTCAGTAATATCTTTAAAGATACATCACCCAATGCAAAGATGGTGAAGGAAAGGATAAACAACTGGGACTACCTCAAATGAAAGAGCTTCTGTATCTGTACAACAAAAGAGATATTACACAAAACAAAGACAAACCCCACTGATTGGAAGAAAATTTTTGCACACAATACTAATGGTAAATGACTGATCACAAAGATGTACGAAAAGCTGATGAGACTCAACAAAAATAAAGTGAACAACCCCATCAAAAAATGGGCAGAATGGGCCCTCCCTGGTGGCGCAGCGGGTTAAAGCACTGCACTGAGAAACTAAAGCCACTTCCGCATGAGTTCGATCCCTGCCTGCCCGGGAGGTGACCACATGGCGCGGCAGACCTCTCCTGACCCGCCCGCTGCTCCCCTCAGCAGTGTACTTCATCGATCTGCCTGTTCTGCTTCCCGCTCTGTCTCTGGTGAATCCTCTCACCCTCCACATCTCTGGCCTGTACCCCAGTTCTGTATGAATAAATAAATAAATCTTTAAAAAAAAATGGGCAGAACAGCTAAAAAGACACTTCTCCAAAGAGGAAATGAGACAGCCATCAGGCATTCAAAAAAATGTTCAACATCTCTTATCATAAGGAAAATGCAAACCAAGCCCATAATGAGAAACCATCTCACATGAGTGAGAATGGCACATATTTAAAAATCTACCAATAACAAATGTTGTGGAGACAAAGGAACTCTCCTACATTGCCAGCGGTAATACGAACTGGTACAACCACTACTCCACCTGTGTGGAGGTTGCTCAAACTGCTAAAAATGGAGCTTCCATATGATCCAGTGATTCCACATCTAGGTCTCTACCCAAAGGACACAAAAAATATTAACTCAAAAGGACACCTGTAATCCTATGTCTGTTGCTGCACTATTTACAATATGGAAGCTATAGAATCAACCCAAATGCCCCAAAATAGATGAATGGATCAAGAAGATGTGGTATGTATAACAGTGGAATATTACACAGCAATCAAAAATAAACTGTTGTCATTTGTAGCACCATGGATGGAGCTGGAAGGGATCAAGCTCAGTGAAATAAGCCAGAAAGAAAAAGAAAAATACCAGATGGTTTCACCCATAGCAGGAGTGTAAGGGATCAGGAAAAAAAAATTGTAATAAAGTAAAAATGAAAATCAACAAACAACTAAAAACCAGAGACATTTTATGAGGACAGAGAGGGAGATAAGATCAAAAATGGGGCAGGAAAGCACACTAGACTATGTGATGGCACATGGGTGAATTGGTGGTGAGAGTTCACAGGGATTACAGCCGAGATGAAAAAATGTACAAAATGAATAATTATGTAAATATATATATATGTGATCAATATCATATACATAAGATTATATATTACATATATAATCTTAAGTATATATTATATATATCATCTTATAAATGTATATATGTATATATATAATCTTATACATTTATAAGATTATATATATACATGATTTTAAAAATCCAAATAAATGTTCTGTGTAGAAAGTAGTACTTCTTGCTTTCTTTCTTTTAATGAGAGATTTATGAACTAAATATGGTGCCAGTCCACATATTAGAAACTGGAAAAACAGAACATATCTCCACCTAGTTGTATGGTTTTAGAATCCCAGTTTCATTCTGATTATTCTTATTTGAGGAAGAGGTACTTTTGCAGTGCACCCAGTCAGCAACACCTCCCAAACCAACTCTAATGGGCAGTGTTATGCCAGCAACCTGTATCTGCACAATTTTCACACACATTGAGTTTCATCCCCATACAGGTTGAAGGATGATCCTTTCTGGGAATCCTTTCATGTTTTAGAAAGCCATGTCTAAATAAAGATATAAATGAGTGATAAATGTCGAACTCAGAATCCAAGAAATGTTTTTTTCTGGGCAGTAATATAAATTTTGCAGGTGGAAAGCCACTTTTGCCCAGAAGAGTGAGACTGGTGTGACATGTTTCTTTCACTCCCACCCCCACAGCCATAGCACCCTCAATGATGAACCCCCCCCTACCATTTATGCCTCTACTCCAACTCTGTCCACCTCTCCCTGCACTGCCAAACTCCTTTCAGTAGAAGGAGGCACCCTCAAAGTTGAAGGTACCTGGAGAATGAGGTGTTTGGGGAACACTGGACCCCTGCTGCCAGCATTTCTTGATCAGACTTTTGAGATGACTGCGGAACTTGATTCCAACAAAGACATAGAGCACCGGGTTGAAGCAGCAGTGGGAGAAGGCGATGCTGCGGCAAATGATCAAGGCGTAGTCTATCTGCTTTTTAGTATCACAGTTTTTCATGATGTCAAGATGCTTTTGTGTCTGTATAAACATGACCATGTTGTAGGGAGCCCAGCTGAGGAAGTAAGCTACCACGATGATGAAGATGAGCCTGACCGTCCGGTTGCGTCGTCTGGACCGTGAACGGAGCAGGATCTTGAGAATCTCCATGTAGCAGAAGAGGACAAATGCCAGGGAGAACAGGAAGATGATATTGTGCTGGAAGGTTGAGTAGTTAAGCCACATGTCTTCTGAAAAATGACAGCCTTTTTCAAGTGCCTTGTGAAACATGGCATCAGGGATGGAGGATACAATGCTGGCTATCCACACAACTGCAGTCACTACCATGCGGAATTTGAGGGTGGGGACGCGCAGGGAGGAGAGGGGGTTCACAATAGACTCATAACGGTGAACCGTCATGATGGTCATGAAGAAGATGCTGCTGTAGAGGCTGATGGAGAAGATCAGGCTGATGAGTTTGCAGGTGAAGTCACCCAGCACTAGATTGTTGCCCTCGTAGTAATCCAGGATCAAAAAGGGCAATATGAAGGAGAACAACAGGTCTGAGAGGCACAGATTGAGGATGAAGATGTTGGTGAGGGACTCCAGGCTCTCATACTTCACCAGGATCCACAACACCAGGCTGTTGCCCACCAGGCTGAGGAGGCACACCAGGCTATACAGGATGGTGACAGTAGATGTGGCATAAATGTAGTGTTCATGCTCACACAGAGCACTACCAAAATCATATTCACCAAAGGTAGTGGCCTCTGGGATGCTTGACGGCTCCATTAGATGATCTGAAATGATAGAGACATGCAGTTTAAAAGCCTCATGGTTAGGACCCATATTACCAAAAAAAAAAGTGGTCCAAGACCTACTCCTCATTGAACTGTCTATACAGGGTTAAGAGCCTTCACCAGAACCTGACGTTACTGGTAACATTGTTTAGTTTGTTAGCACTTCTTTTTCAGTGTGATTTTCTTAATGAAGGAGGCAATGCACTAGTTGACATTCTGTCATGATCCCCTTTGCTCCAAGAAGACTGCCATTTTAGCAGCACAAGCTAGACAGCTATACCCACTAGGTATAGGGAAGGAACAGTAGAACTCAATTTGAAAAACTGAGATCAAATTTGGATCCTGTTATTTTGCTCTTGGGAAAGCTATTTCACCTTTCTGAACCTTACATCCTCATCTATAAAATAAGGCCACTGATCCCAGAATTATTTCATCAACAAACATCTAGTTAACACTTAATATGCCCCCCTTCTCATCTCTCCTACCTCCGTCCCCTTCTTTTAGCTATTTTCTTCTGCTTCTCCTTTCCTTCTTTGTATAAAGTATAGAATTTCTGATAGCAAGGTTGCGTTAAGAAAATTATTCTTTCTTGGAACAGGTAGAAAAAGAGGATACAAAGGGAACAAATGACTTCCATATATACCAAAGCATGAAATAATGTCAAAACTACACGGACAGTGAGACTTTGAGAGACCAAATCTTCCTTCCCAGGGAGGATTAGTTCTCAGAGCAGATGTCTTCTTCATTCAGGAGTTTTGAGCTTCTTACAGAGCAAGTAAGTGGAAACAGACCAAGTATCCATTTGAGGGGAGTAATCAATAGAGATAGAGATAGAGATAGAGATAGAGATAGAGATAGAGATAGGCATAGGCATAGGCATAGGCATAGGCATAGGCATAGATATAGATATAGATATAGATATAGATATAGATATAGATATATAGATATAGATACAGCGGGTCAAGTAGAAACAAGACAAAGTAAGCACTTGCAGAGCTGGAATTTTAGTTCAGAGAGGTCAGTGAAATCGTTGTTCCTTAAAGAAGAAGATGGAAGACCTGGATTAAGCAGCTGTATGAACAGGAAAGGGAGTTCTCATCACCTGTGTGTGAGGCATTGGGCTAATACATTATACTCACTGCTTCTTTAATCCTTCTTTAATTCACTGTTAGTTAAGATAACCTCTGTTTTACAGAAGAGGACATTGAGACTCAGATGATTTTTTCATGTTATAAAGTCAGTAAGCAGCAGGGAGAGAGAAGACTGGAGTTCGGGTTCTACTGGCTTATATTTTGAAGAGGAGAATTGGAGAAATAACCTGAGTTTCCCATCTAGCTCATCAACCCACTGTGCTTGTTTGTCTTTAATTGCATATCTGGCCTTTTAATTTCATCTTGACATAGAGAAATTAAGTGCTACATTTTACAGATGTGCTTATCCAACTCAATACAACAGCCCTTAATGATCACTGGTTGTTGCCAGTCACTATACTGGCACTGGATTCTAGAGTATAAACATGAATATAAGTCATCTCCATCTGTAAGGAGCTTATAGTTTAGAACAATAGCAAAATTAGACAATATCTGTGACTCTCTATAGTGTGACAAGTTGAAAGTGGAGTTAAGTGTACCTCATACCATTCCTCGGTCTACTGCTTAGTGCTCACCCAAGGCCAACCACCTTCTTGACTGGAAATTCCTTAAAATTAAGTGACTTCTCCTGAGGCATAAGATACCTTCTCCCCCTTTTATTTCATTTTAAAACATAGTTTTAGAAACTATGTTTTAGCATTTTTCATGAATATAGAACAAAGGAGCAGAGGGTGAAGTGGCTTCCTTGGGTGATGATTTGTGTTGCCTGCAGCACCAAGGCAAAATTATCCCCCATGTCTACTCTCAGTGAAATTCATGTGTTTCCCCTCAATTCTCCAGAATTAAGGACTCTCAATTAGCTGGTGGCTAATTGAGCTTGCTTAACTCCCATTTCCCCCATGTTACCCAGATCTTTTCCCCATCTGTGATCCTGAGTAATTCCATGGAAATGGCTGGTAAGAGGATTTTGCAGCCCTTACACTATCAGGTTATCAAGTGCTGGATGATTTATTATGTATAAAATAGAAAGACTGAGTTCTACTTTTCAGTTATCTGAGTAAACTCAGATGAGATTAACCATTCTACAGACTGGAATTATAAATCCTAGAACAGAACCAAAACCAAAATTGAACATCTTCCTGCAGGCTTTGTTGAGCTACTAAATGAGGCTAAACCCTGGAATGGATAAGGTATTTGAAAAAAGAGAGCCACTACATAATATTTTGAACCAATGCTACATCAGTTTAAAAAAAAAAAAAAAAGATAACTGCAAGTGAAGAATCCTAAAAAAAAACACAATTCAACATTTCTTACGTTCTTTATGTGTGAGGGTTTAGGTTATGACTTTCTACAACTGAGATACTATAGTACCACTTTTCTTCCTGTTCTCATTAACCATTATTGGTGGGAATCATCGCACATCAAATGATACAGCTTTAATGTGCTTTTTTTTTTTTTGGCTGCATCATGGAGCTACAGTGATTTATCCAGTCATAATATGTCTGTTATTAAAAGAAAATGAGCTGAATGACAAAGGGTGAGATTCCCTTTTTTATGGCTTTGTCCTAAAGACAGGACCTACTCATGAAAAACAGCTAAAATTCTAACAGAAAACTCATAATTTTCAATCTTAAAAATCAGAGAACTGGCCCTCCCTGGTGGCGCAGCGGGTTAAAGCACAGCACTGCAAGCGAGCCAGCTGCTTAAGTGCGAGTTCAATCCCCGCCCTGGAGGTGACCACATGGCACAGCAGACCTCTCCTGACCCGCCCGCTGCTTCCCTCAGCAATGCACTTCGTCGATCTGCCTGTTCTGCTCCCCACTCTGTCTCTGTTGAAGTCTCTCAATGCCCCTGCGCCTCTGGCCTGCACCCTGTATGTATAAATAAATAACTCTTAAAAAAAAAAAGAGAGAATCAAGTTTAAGGCAATTACAGCTCCTGGAAAGTGAGGGGGAAAGGTGCAGGTAACGAAGAGCTAGAGAGTGAGAGCCCCAAATTCCTTATGTGTATCTGCCCCAATATTTGACCGAAAGTTCCTGAACAATGAATGCACCAGTGCCTGGGAGAATGGAGTTGAGAGTTGGGTAGCTGTCCAAGTCAGGGAAGACAGAGTTTAAAGTTTGAGACAGCCACATTATTTTTCTTTTCTTTTTTTTTTTTTAAATTTATTTATGCAAACAAAACTAGAGTATAGGCCAGAGGTTCAGGGGCGGTGAGAAGATTCACCAGAGACAGAGTGGGGAGCAGCACAGCCAGATAGATGAAATACACTGCTGAGGGGAGCAGAGGGCAGGTCAGGAGAGGTCTGCTGCGCCATGTGGGTCACCTCCGGGGCTGGGGATTGAACTCACACTTAAGCAGCTGGGGCTTACTTGCAGTGCTTTGTCCTAACCCACTGAGCCACCAGGGAGGGCCCAGGTTATTTTTCTGTTTAAGCAAACAAGCAACAGATAAGCAACCGACGGTTTTCAGAAGAGCAAAACAGAACCCAGGCTCTAAAACGTTGCCTACGGTAGCACAACAGTCAGTCAAGATACGAGACAAAAGCACTAGTATATAAAAAATAGGAAAGCATGGTCTATACTAAAAAGAAAAGACAATCAAAACTCTGACCCTGAGCTCCCCCAGATGTTACATGTTACCAATAAGATTAAAATGAATCCATTTGACATTGCTTAAGAGAACAAGAGAAAGCAAGGGAGGTGACTCACAAGGTGCAGCAGACCTCTCCTGACACACCCAGGCCTCCCTCCGCAGTGTACTTCAGTCAATCTGATTATTTTGCTTCCCACTCTGGTGAACCCTCTCCGCCCCCGCACCTCCTGCCTATATCCCAGTTCTTGTAGGCATACATAAATAAATCTTAAAAAAAAAATGCTTATGATAGGCAGAAAAAAAGGTGTAAAACCTATTATCTAAAAGTCAATGATTCAGAAACTAGAAAAAGAAAAGCAAATTAAACCAAAATAAGAAGGGAGACATAATAAAGATAAAAGCAGAAATAAAGAAGTAGAACAAATAAAGAACATGTACAAAATCAGTTTGTTTGAAAAAAAAAACATTGTTAGACAAAATAATAAAATGCCATTTAGATTAACTTAGAATAAAAGAGAAAATACAGATTGTTAATAAGAGGTATAAGAAAGGGTTATTGCTTCATACCTTATAAACTTTGAAAGAGTAACAAAGAAATATTATGATCAATTTTACGTTAACAAATTCAACAACTTAAATGAAACAGACAACTTTCTTAAATGAAACACCCAGCCTCCCAAAACTGATGCAAAATAGTAGCAAAACTGAATAGCCCTGTATCAATTATAAATTTTTTTAAGATTTATTTATTTATGCATACAAAAACTGGAATATAGGCCAGAGGTATGGTGTGGGTTGGGGTGAGAGCATTCGCGAGAGACAGAGTGGGGAGCAGAACAGGCAGATTGACTGAGTACACTGCTGAGGGGAGCAGCAGGCAGGACATGAGAGGTCTGCTGCGCCATGTGGGTCACCTCCCTGGCCGGGGATCTAAAGCTTGCAGAGCCATGCCGCAGTGGCTGCAGATAGCTTCATAGTGCTGTGCTTTAATCTGTTGCACCACCAGGGAGGGCCCTCAATTACGAATCTTTAGTTAACTCTAAAAAACTCTTCCACAAAGAAAACTCCAGATAACTCGATAATTATTCTGGTGCATCTGTCCAAATAATTTAGGAAGAAGTACTACCACTGTTACACAAAACTATCCTTCATGAACATAGACACAGAAATCCTTAAACAAATTTTGCAAATCAAATCTGGTAAAAAAATTTTAAAAGGATCATATATCATGATCAGATAGTATTTATCTGAGAAATATGAGATTGGTTTAATACTTGAAAACCCCTTCAATTTAAGTCACCACAGT